CGTATTTCCGCTGAAATGATCGCTTTGCAGAAAAATAATATTCTCGACCTCCCCCTGGTGTCTATAGCAAATTATAAAGAATTTTTTAAAAACAAACACGATATCACAGAATATGGATATCGTTAGTTCCATATTCTGTGACAATATCTTTTTTGGCATTTCTTTTATAATGCCAACACTTCAATCGTTCAATTGTTGCATGTCGTAGTTTCCACAAAAAGGAACATAACGCTTCTCACAGGTGAGGTAGTTGTTTGTTTTGTTAGTCCGTCAACGATTGAGAAGCAATTATACATGCACTTGAAAAGCCATAAAATACATATTAAAGATCGTATTTTTTAGACTGACTTGAACGCTAAATATACTGATGTTTTCCTGTTTTTGTTTATAAAATTCTGCATACTTTTCTGTCATTTGTTAATGCATGAAATCGTAAATTTACCCATTTATTTGCTAAATAGTTTCCTAAAGAAAAAAGACCCTGCACACATTTTGCTCTGTGAGTAAGTATCAAAAGAAATGATCAGCCCCAACGGTACCCATGATTTGGAGCAGAGCTTGTTATGTTCTATTTGCTGACAACATGCAGGAAGATCAGGAGTAAAGATGACTGAAGATGTTATTGACCAGGCAGAGTCTTAAAAATGATAATGCTGTAAAGATAATCGATTTATTGTCTGCCCTATCCAGAGTTATTTAATTTGATCATGGTCAAATTCTATGGATGGAGATAATTGATTCACTAAGGATGCCTTGAATGCTTTGAAGTTAAAGTTCATGATCCAAAGAAAGATGGCAAGAAGGTTGTGTGTGTTTTGATGCTTAATGAAATGTCAATTCACAAACATGTAAAATGGAAGGCCATAAAGTTTGTGTCTATGTAAACATTTGTACTGAGATTGATGATGACTGATGATGTGAAGCTTCAAACTGTATAAGCCATTGGGTTTTATATAACTTAATGTTTAAATCATGTCATATCTTTATCAAAATATTTTAGTTGAGTGTTGTTTAAATGTTACTAATATCTAATGCACTATACTGAAGCATTAAAGATTCAGGATGAAACCTTTAAAGTTATTGTACTGTATATGTCTTATATATTTCTTATATTTTTAAGAAACAGTGTGAGCTTATTTACCTATTAGAGTACAGAATGGAGATTTATCATATGCATTATTGCTTTTTAAAGAAAAGTTTTCACTTTTCAAAGCTTTTCTACAAAATTTTGCTTCTTATTTCTTGTCATGAGATTGATGATATAGAGGTAATATAATCCAATAACTTTCTAATTTCTAAAAGCTTTTAAGCTTCTAGCATAAAAGTACACTATAGGTATGTAATTCATTTGGTTTTATTGCCTTGCTATGACATATCTACTTGCACTTCATCATTCTTGTATGAACAAAACACCAGATGTGGATACTCAGAGAACAAAATGCACTACCAACTGCTTATGAAATTTATTATTGAGGTGAAAACTGTGTTAATCATTCAATTATAGTGCACTTTTATTGCAAATATAGGAAAACAAAGAGAAACGAAAGGTAGAAGTATTAAAACTACAAATGAATTATAAACACCATTGGAAGCATAAGTGTTTTGATTATTATTTGCATTTTGCCCAATCATATATCAATACAACAAAATCAAAATGTGCTACAACTTTACAAGTATTTGATGCAGTTGCACTTCAGAACATCACAAAAGGTTACTTAAAGTAATTTCTATACAATATTGTTTGTTTTCATTTACCAAACCTATGCAGACTTGAGTCTTTTGAAATTTCATATGAAACTTAATTACAGAAAACGTAAATATCCAGAGATTTAATATGTACTTTTTAAAGAAACAAGTAAAAATCCTAAAATTGTGTGAAAAGCCATTGCCCATTGCATGAAAAGAAGCAAAATAGCAATGATAACAAATAAGCTGACTTCTCTCGTGAGCCGTGGAGATGAACTATGATATACTTTTTTGTATAGACTAAAGAGTTTAATCGATCAAATAAGTTTGACGCTGGTAAGAAAACGACGCACATCTGCATTCATACATGTGTAGCCGACATATAGGTCTTTCGTCGATAGTTATAAATGCATCCTCGTAGGAGCAGATAACTGACAACCACAGTTGACTCGCTGTTATGAATTTAAGGTTTTACTTGATTTTCATCAAAAATTGCTTGCCGAATCCCAAATACACACATACATTTTCTCACTCTTTCCTCAGGAGGAGGAAATTGGGAAATTTTCGGAAAAGCGGTCAATTTCGGTAAATCTCAGCGGCAAAGGACGAAATCCGCCATTTTATTGGCGTCATCAGATATCTAAGGCCGCGCTTGAGATAGCCGCTCCAGTTATTATAGAACTCAATGGTCTTAACTCGCGACTGTTTACAATATAACACTATATACAAATAGAGATTTAAAAGGTTGTATAACTCAATTTTTTTAACACACTGTGTCGGCCAAGATTGCAGTAATAAAACTGATAGAAGTACAGGCATTTCTTTGCAGAAAAGCCCAAATGACGAGTCTTTGAGAAGAATTTGAGTTAAATTTGTTCAGACGAAGCGCACAAATTTTAACCTGAGTTCGCGCGAAATTCGATTTATGATTTGTTCGAATCACTTCTCGAAGATTGTTTGAGCGTTTATTCCATTTGAGTGGTATGACTACACGGCTCAAACCTGGTGCCGTACCTACTATTTGGAAGAAATCACCAACACCAACAACGTCAAGAGAGCGGCGTTAGCACAAGTTACAACTATTATATACTTACATATATTGCAGATGATAAATTTACACAATTTGAGGAAAGCAATAATATATCCAGGCAAACTTCGAATATATAATATACATTTATACCAAGGTTTTAAAGAAATTACAAAATGAAGTGTCTGTATCCAGCATGAACAAAGAAGATTTAAACCTAACTGGCTTTAAACCTAACGAAGCTGCTATTTGAAAAACAAATTCGCTCAGGCAAACTTCGTTAAAGCCAGGGTGATCCAAAATGCATTTCCTTTCATCGATTTCGTACTGATACATTTTACCACGGCATTGCTCTATTTCTATGCAGCATCGGCACTCTTGAGGGTTGACAACAAGATACAACGAACAATGGCCACATTCACCCCTTTAATATTGGTCAAATTGTATGTTTCGGCAGACGATTCAGATCAAAGTAACACTCTAAGAATGACATCTTACCATGAAGTAACATCAACACGGGCATCAAAACGATCTTGCAGCATGTCTTCAACCCGCCGTTCTTCTGCGACTACAGCTTCGTACTCAGCAATTTCATCGCGCGAAGCAAGCGGTTCAATATTATCGGCAAATGGCAAAATTTCCGAATTAGATTTGTTCGAATTTGCCGTAACAAATTCCAATGTAGAAACCGATGCGTTTGTCTCGATCGAAGACTCTGAGAGCGAGCTAGAACTCGATGAATTTGACATTTGTTTGCTCTATTTATGTATTATTTTGTATACTTTCCAATGTGCGCTTCTTGTCGTGTTAAGACTATGACGTCACAGACCTTTGCTGATTGCATATATTCAAAATGGCCGATTTTAATGGCAGACAGGAAAATTAGACATTTCAAATGTTCATAACTCCCTCGTTATATTATTATTTTTGCTTACATTTTGCGAAAGCAATAATTGACATGTGTTTAAACTATTGAATGTTAAAATCGATGATTTTTTAACGTTAAGTTTTTGTCATAGAAGCACTTTAATGACTTAAAATTGTAGAACATAAGGGTTGAAAGCGAGGTTCAATTTAGACGATACAAATTGCTTGGCATATTAAATGTTATCTTTATAAAAACTATTATAAAAAAGTAGATAATCCATGGAAGGTTCGTTCATGACGAGAGTGTTTAATTTTATCTTATAAGGAGGCTGTCGTTAATCACGAGGGGTTAATGAGAAAGTTACATTGTAAAAGGTAACAAGTAAAAAACGTATAAACGTGTTTCGAGTTGGTTTTAAACTATCAAAAGGCAGAAGTTGTTTGATACACCCATTTAATAAACCCTTAGACGACCCTTTAATCACCTTTAAATCACCCTTAAACCATTCATAAACGACCCTAAACAACCCTTAAACTACCCTTAAGCCACTAGTAAACAACCCTTAAACTACCTTTAAACAAACCTTAAACCACACTTAAACTACCCTCATTGACTACCCCAATAAGTATGAGTGGCTTTGCTCTTCCCGTACAATTTGCCCTAACTTTGGGCAAGCCAGCCCCCTTAATGAAAAATCCTTTTTTAAAAAAAAACAATGACAAAAGCAGCGATTACTATAGTTCAAGGGAATTTACTAACATTTTTTATTCTACTAGTATTTACAGATTTAAATCTCCAAATATCATAAGTCAAGAAAAAAGCACATGAAATTAGCAAATAGCTATGAAGCATTGATGAATTTTTCTCAAAAGTCTGAGATATTTACAGGGTCGGACAAAATTTTTGTTTCTTGAAAAATACATGTTAACTTCAAAATCATCAATGAATGCATGTATAAAGTAAATGGTTTGAGTCCGGGAGTATCATTACATGTTTGTAAATGTGGATCGTCCAGGTTGGTATAGTCCTGAAAAGGACTGTTTTTGTTGTTGTCGAAACGTCAGTAAACAACAACAAAAACAGTACTTCTCAGGACTATACCAACCTGGACGATCTACATTAGAAACATGGAATGCATGTATAATTGGGCTAAAATAGCTGATTTATTTTAATCTAATCATAAAGAGCACCATTCGACAATCAATAGTATTTATTTGCAATGCATAAAACGTAATTGCTTTGCTGTTTCAAAACAGATTAGAAAATAAACACAATGAAACGCGCGCGCTGATTGGTCTAGAGCTGTGTTTGCATTAGCTTCTGGAGCAGGTGCAACCCTCGACCTTCGGTCTCGGGCTTGCACTGATCTGCTCTCGAGTTCTCCCAAAGGTCTCCTCGGTTTGCATAAGCCTGTGCAAACACAGTAAACATTTTTTATTTCTTAAGTAAAATACTAAGGCTGTAGAATCATAATCAGTACAAAATGTAAAATAAGTGCCCTTCACTAAAGGTAAAGAAATCAAAAGACATCCCATGCATATTCAACGTGCCTTGATCAAAAATGATTGCATTTTGAAAGTTTAAAACAGACCCGATTCTCTGTAAATCATATCTTTTAAATCAAAACCCGAGCTTTTAAATCACGAACAATAACATCACTCAATGACATCTTTTTTACGCGTTCACTGGAGTTGACTTCAAATTATTTTCTGTCTTTGAATGCTCGTCCACGGATGATCGTTTGTAACTTTCTTTCACAAAAAGCATAAGCATCGCCGATACAGCACAAGTGCACACGGTGGCCCACAGCATCCATTTTGTACCTAAATGTGCTAGTGGAAGAAGAAGAAATACTGACTGCAGAAAGTTGTTGAAGAACGTAATAGCACCGGAAGTAATACCCTCAGCAACCGGGTATGTTATCTCGACTGCCAGTTCAAAGAAGAATGGTATCGTTCCGTTGACAAAGAATCCACTGATGCCAAACAAAACGTAAACTAAACCTTGGTCGAATCCAATAACTCCAGTGAAAACATAACAAATTAACAAAACAGCAAAAAACGAAGACGCAATGAAAGCAATAAGGAATAATTTTAAATGTCCAGCAAAATGATCAGCAAATCTAAAAAAGAAAATAAGGCAAAATATAAGAGGTTTCAAAGAACAAAAATACCTGACCATCGTTAAGCCGGATTTCCACTTGCGAATTTTTTCGCGCGAAGGAATAATTTTCGAATATAGGCATGCGCAGACGTTCAATACGTCACATATACACAGCGATGAAATTCGAATAAATTGTTCGTCACGACCAAAATTTGAGTTCGATTGATTTCTACTTTTTCGGTGCGAAAAAATTCGCTGGCTTATCAGATTTCAGCGTTTCTAATTTGTGATTTTTGTCAAACACTCAGTTTTCAAAATAACGGACGTTGAGGAGTTAGTTGCTCTTGAAAGACTTTCCATAGCTACCATCTAACGACTCTACTCTACAAAAAACACCGACTATTTTGACTAAGGAATTTCTTACGCGAAATACGAAACAAACGATGGTTATGGAAACATATTACTGGTCGTAAATACTAAGCTTTCTTTTATGTGCCTGTTAAGCCGCTTTATATGAATATTTTTTGTATTTCGCGGTTTTCTCATTACAAGTGGAAATCAAATACCCATTTGCATGAAAATGATGAGAAATCTGCATTTCTAAAAAGCATTATATGAATATGAATGCTGTAAGAACATCAACAAGCTTTTCAGTTGTGACTTTGAAATTGAAAAAATTTAGAGAATAGCCGGAAACGACACCTTCCCATGTTTACTCGTACCATACAAATTGTTTGGATAAATTACAGTTCATTGCTATGGAAAATATTTTTTGCCCAATGAATTAAATCAATATTTTTTCCATAAATGTCGTTACACACGAGTTGGATTAACACTTGAAAGTTTTTTAGGAAGCGCTTCCCTTGTTTATAAGAAAAATTGTCACAACTTCCAATAGAAGACAATTAAGTTCACGCAAAAATTCCACGAGTTAATGTTACTCGATACTTCAGTAACTGATAATGGTACTGACATTTTGAGTTTTTGTAAAGCTTTTTTTGAAGAAAATTGCTAAGTAACATCTACTCATCTTGGTAACTGAACGATTTAAGAGAATATACCTCTCCTTGTTACATAAAAACATCAAATATATCGAAAACATCATGAAGAGAACAATACCAATCACTAACATTACAACAATTATTTTTGGCCATGATACTTATGTTCTGCGGTCGACATAAATGAATTTAAAATATTCACCAATTTTAAAAATGGTTGAATCGCATCCCTTTTGAAAAGGGGAAAATAATTTTTGTGAAGACAGAAAATTTTTGAGTGACGGAAAAACTCAAAAGACAACTTGATTGGCTGCTAACAAACATAATGTGGCAGACATCAAGTAAAAGACAGACATACTTACCTGGAAAAGCACACCAGAGAAAGCACCACAAGTGACTGCGACAAAGCCAAGCCATTCAGCAAAATGTTCAGTCACCCGTATACCGTAGTCCGAGAGGTTTTGATACAGAACGGCACACCAGCCACCAAACACACCAGTACTAGCTCCGTATATTGTGGCAAGAAGAAGAAAGTTAAAGTTCTTACTCAAACGTCTGGCACCATCCCTAAAATCAACTCGACCAGTGGCCGCTGAAGGACTGGGAGGATTTGGAGGTTTGGATGGATAATGTACAAGAATGATAATTAGCAAGATTACTTGTATTCCGGCTTCAACGTATAATAACATATTGATTTGTCCTTGGTATTGTTCCTCTTCAGTTTTATTTAGTACGTAGTTGTCACCCTTTTTTAAAGCATTCGACTTTGTAACATCACCGACGAAGGCAGGTCCAATGATAAAAGACAGAGATGTACCAACGTATCCCGCTACAGTTGATATGGCAGTAGCAGTGGTACGTTGGTGTGGGGGAAACCATGTCGATGACAAGAGAGGAGCTGTTGCCATGCCTACAGGGCCAGCCAGACCGACTACTATCTGACCGCAATGAATCAAAAATGTCGAAGTTTGCATATCGCCAGTTGGAATAAAACGTAAAACCGCGCCAACGAGTTGCATGGCAGCAGCTATCAGCATAGTGACACGCAAACCTTAAAAAATAACAAAAAATAATGTTCCTGATTTTCTAATGTACATCGATCTAAGTTTCGATCTACGAAAGTCGAAGTCACAATTCTCATGCATTCGCCAACAAACAAACTTTGTTATTTAAAAATAACAAAGAGCTTGGAGGGTATTCGTTTTTTTAAACAGAAAAAAGGGAAAACAATATCATTTTACAACGATACAAAGTTATTCAGTTTCAAAACATTCCGTTCTTCTCAGTTTGGTTCTCATTCCTTTTGATGATTAAGTGCAGTGTAAACATCTAACTAAATATAACTTAAATGCTACACGTAACTCCCACCAAAATTCAACAAGTCCCAATCCTTTGAAGCACGGCCAAAAGAAATATCATAACGGCTGTAATACTAAACTGGGGACTTTATCGCGGACACGCGCGTCGGGAGGTAAACTTCATGCAAGGTCGAACATCTTTACCTTAAAGATAGCCTTCCAGTTATGTTTTTAGTTCAGTGCATGGGATTAGATGAAAACTCGTAGTTTTACTGCTAGGTTGAACACAAGGTAAGGCGAGTTGAGAAATAATTTATAAACTCATTAAAAACTACAGTACAATGATAAAGGGCTCCAGACGCTTATAAAATATAAAAATAAGAGCCTGACAAATGGGCTCCAAAAACTTATCGAAACATGAAAATAAGAACTTGAGAAAAGGACTCCAAAAGCAGTGACAGATTACTTATTACGGGGCCTGTAGACTAATACAAAGTTACGGGCCTTCAAGCGATGCCTATTCCTCCCACTAAGTTCAGTGTTCCTATGATTTGCATTTCCTCTTAGTAACCCCATAGGGTAAAAAATGGGAAAAGTTCATTTTAGTTGAAACAAAATTTCAAAAATCATTGACATGGTCAGGGAAATAGGAAAAGCCAATACTTCAAGAGTTCTGAGCATTACACATTTGAAGAGTATATAGTACGAAAGCCATTTTTCCTCTGCATTCTATTGCTCGTATGGGTTCTCATCAGCATCAATGATCTAAATTGAGCACATTTACCTAGCCCAGAACATCAAAAACGATCAAATCCTAATTATGTCCAGATACAACGGGCCTTTCGAAAACCTGGGCCTGTAGGCTTAAGTCTACTCAGACTACTGGATAATCCGCCCCTGTCCAAAAGCGTATGGAAAACATGAAAATAAGAGGTAGACTGTCGAAAAAAGGCTTCCTAAGAATGCTTCGTGAAATGAAATGTGCAAGCTTCAAACTGTTGTTCTAGAAAGTTTGTGCTCATTTGTGGCAAGTTGATGGCGAAGTAGGATATTTTAAGTGCTGGTCAGGAAGGTTGCTTCAAATACGTAGCAGTTCTATTTTGGAGCTCTATTTCCTCAAAGATGGGATTGAGTGCTCATTTGAGGCAAGTTGGTGAGGAAGTAGAATATTTTAAGTGCTGGTCAAGAAGGTTGCTTCAAACACGTAGCAGCTCTATTTTGGAGCTCTACTTCCTCAAAGATGGGATTGAAAAAGAGAGATGTAAACGAACCATTAAACTATACTTAAGAAAGGGAGAATAGGTTGTGAACATAAACACAATAACTTAATGCGCTCTTCATGGAAGCTTACACAATAGTGCTTTGACCAAGAGCAACATTTCTAAAGTTTGCCCATTGGGTTTAACAAAGACATCCTTTGGAAAGTCTTCTTTTAACACTTCATATCCTTTTCCTATGTTTCGATAAGCTTCTAGCGTCGTTTCATCCGGCATTTAACGATTTTATATTTAATTAGTTTATTCTCCAGCTTTTTGTGTTGTGATAAAAATTTGCTATAGATTCTCCTCGGATTTTATCCAACAATTGAAATAGATAAAAAAATATTCTCTGCTCTGACGATTAGAAGTATCTTAGCAACAGGATCACAAGAAATCCACTTTCATCATTAGCCAGGGGCCGGTTGCACGAAGCCTTGATACGTTATCCATTATATAGGAAAATCTTCAAACTTGTAAAAAAATTTTTTTCTGTCTTCGAAACAATTTTTATTTCAGTGATTGTTTAGTTCGATTCTTATACTTTTTGCTTTTTAATAAGCTTTATAAAAGCTTAAGAAAACTTGCTATCCACTGGATAACGCTATCCAGGCTACGTGCAACCAGCCCCAGATCGAGATATTTTCGCGCTAATTAGCTTCTTGCTTACACATAGTTTCGTGACGTCATTATACATAAGGCGTATTTTGACAACTTCCTTACCTTTAACGTCCATAATCCACGCAAAAGGCAACATAGAGATACAATATGTCGTGCTTCCCCAGGCCGAAATAAGATCGATGACCCATCCATCCCATTTATAAACCGCTCTAGCTGTCGTCTCGATTGGACTAAAAGTGTTCCACATCGCATTCTGCATGATTCCATTCATGCAGTAAATAAATAATATGTACCAACGTGTCTTGTACACACGAACTTCCGAATTTTCGCTGTATGAATGGTTTGCGAACATTTTAGGAGGCAGAAGACTTTCATCAGGTCCGTTTTGATAGCTTGAATCATCGGGGAGAGAATTGCTACTCATCTAAGGATAGAAATGTGGCTAATTGAATAACGATAATGGGACAATCGGTCTCGGGTTTCCACCAGTGGCGGATCCAGAGTACGTCAAAATAAATTGCTGCAGCACATTTTGGTGTATATTTAAATTTCTAAACACCTTAGAGGCTAATCCATTGATAAAATTATATTCTTTAGAAATTAAAAACCAATAGTGCTTTTCTAAAAGTAATTTAAATTTAAAATTGAGTAGCTATAATTTGTTTTGACGTACACTGGATTCGCCACTGGTTTCCACTGATCAGCCCAAAGGTTGTCTAGAAGTATTAGTAAAAAAGACAGATTTATAAGATGTTTGAAATTTGAAGTATGCTTCAATATTAAAATTGATTTTATAAGAGACCACCGAGAGGACTGCTCATGCTCAGAAGACGTTTCTAGAAATTTGTGACTAAGCAGGCAATTTGCTCCTAATTCGGTTTTAGTTGATGAAGTTCGCCGTTCCCTAGTCCATGAACTGCGACAGTTGCTTGAGTGTGCAGCGCATGCTCAGACCACCCCTGAACCATGGGCATTGCAATATAGACAAAAAGAAAATTGCTTGTATGTAAACGATGGACAACAAGACAATAACTGGTTATTTAGACTATAGCTTATCATTGAGGTTGCATTCAAAAGTTTCCATTTGCCATAAATTCAATGGGTATTCGTCTCATGATAAATAAAGTTATAGTATGAGTACTGAGTAGAACATTAGAACTGTGTTCATCAATCCACTTCAATGGGGGTGTAGCAGCACAACTGGGGACCTGTGAAACAAGTAATAAAAGCCCCCCCCTCTTAAATAACCATATTAAAATCTATTAACCACCACAATATACGTAATACCACCTACAGTACTTATCCTCCATAACCATTTACATAAGTTTATGTTGTGCAATTAATTTTAATCAATAGTACACATATTTTGTGTTCATTCAGAGGACCAAGCAAGTTTGCATATCAAGAACTAAAGTTGGGAGAAGCTCTGCCTTGGTATGCAATGTATAAGTCAAGAGGCTGATGCAAAGTTAAAACAAACTGCAGTTGTTAGACTTAATGAAAGTCAAAATATCAAAAAAACAATGCCATTAGCTTCGAATTTACACAGACTAAAATCTTTACACTCCCTAGCAACTATTTAAATAATCACACATTGCATGACAAAATGTAAATATATAATCATGAATTTGCCTTGTATTGTCAACAGTCTATGACACAGAATCAACAACTTGGCATATTGAATTAAGAATTAGGTACAAAGAATATAGAACCTGCAGTAAAGAATCCAAAATCAAACGTAAAAATAGACAGGAGAAAATTTGAGATATGGGATTTACAATTTGATATTCTAAGAGAAAATAACTTTGACAAACTGATCAAAGACTTTGCAAGTTCTAAACAAATTCTGCAAATGTACTTGACCTCAAGTTGCATTCAATTATCAGATGCAAGTACTTTGCATGCCCTACATTTTAGGTTTATATTTCAACAAGATGTTTTACAAAATTTGTAACGAAATTTTGTTATTAGAAAAATGAGCCTCCCAAAGCTTTTAGAGCAACGTAATGCAACATTGCTACGATGTACAAGAATTGAAGAATATTCAAAACAATTATTGCTTATAACAATAGTGACAATAGGAAACAAATTTCCAAGATAATATCTTGTCTGAAATTCATACCTTTTTCTGTTGATGATATCACAAAGCTGAAATGTTGCCCAACTATTATTGCATTAAGTCAACTTCAGACCACTGTCTAATAGGGAATCTGTGAGCAACAACCTTAAAGATAATTATAAAATAAACACAATGGATTGTGCACGCTGATTGGTCTAAAGCTGAGTTTGCATTAGCCAGTGCAAAATACATCTGAGCTCAACCAATCAAATTAATCTAAATAATCAATCAGTCAAAGAGAATTTGCAAATTGATCATGAATACATTTTAGAGGAAACATTAAAATGTTTGTCTTTTTTCGCATTATTGTTATTTTATACCTAAAAGAAATAAAAGATGTTTTTAGTATTTGCACTGGCTTATGCAAACCTCAGAGACGTTTGTGAGAACTCTTGAGCATGAGCAACCCTCAAACTGATCTGCTCTCAAGTTCTCCCAAAGGTCTCTTCGGTTTGCATAAGCCTGTGCAAACACAGTGAACATCTTTTATTTCTTAAATGATAATAGTTTGATATCAAGATTTCCATGATCACGAAAATTGGGTGTGCCATAACTGAAGTTACGGCATTGATTGACGTCAATGGCCGTTATCTTCAAAAATCTAATGACAATGGCAATTGTATCATATGTGACTTGATCTTCAGAAAATCACATTACAGCATTAGCCATGTCACGGTTTATCACGCCTGCTCATAAGATCTAAGCTCTGGCATTTCTTTAGTTTTGGTACATTATAAAAATATCATCACTATTATTATATCACAATAGCAAAATGTCACATGAGCAATGAGCACACGTCACGTCAAAATCATAGATAGCGAAATGACAAAATTTCTGTATGTCATGCTGATTTTGTCATCATGCCATTACATAATAATAAAATCTGTTGGAACCAGTGGGAAAATACTGTTAAAATATCAAATGTTACCTGAATACCGCGAGGGCAAATGGGTCAACACCTCGATGGTCAACACATCAACTTCGTAACAACAATAAAATATTTCCGCTTATATCAAGTATCTTTACAAACCAAAAACCATATCTGATCCACAATCTGATCCATATCTGATCTGATCTGAATATGATTCAATCTTACCAAATGATCAATCTGACTCTTGAGAGTGCTCTTGAGTCCTTGATCTAAATAGTCCAGTCAATCTACGACCAAAAACACTCTAACCTTGAACAAATTTCCACAAAAGAAATTCCAACTGATTTTGGTATATTTGATATCCCTTTACAACATATTGAAAGTCCCACAAAATCCTAGCACGGCAACATCGTGTAAATTACGTTTTATTTGAGGCATTTGGATTGAAAATCTGAGCGACATGGAAACGAGGCTCAAAATTAATGTTTTAGATTTTATCCTTTTAGAACACTTAGTAAAGCACAAATATAAATATTATAGATTAAAACAAGTGGATAATGATATTTTGTAAATTAATTAATATTTTGTCCTTTATTTACGTCAAAATGCTGATCTTGCTGTTTTGGGTACTAATTTTCGCTGACTTGGTAGTTTTTAGACAAACGCGTGTTTGAAGTACGTTTGTTTACGTATATTTTGCACGTGTTTAGATGGATATTTATTATATTTAATGTGACTTCCTTTCAATACTTCAAATTGAAGCTTTGGCTCATTATTGGCATCAAAATGTGACGTTTCTTTGTTCTCCTCAAGGTAAGCAAAATAGATAACTTGAAGACAATGAGTTTATGAATGTATTATTTAATTGCTATTACATTTTACATTTTACAAAATACAATGTTTACATTTATAATTACCAAATACAATGTTTGCATTATAATACCGCGTTCAAAGCCATAGATACATTAGGGCTGTAAAATATCGCATAAACCAGTAAATAAAACCAGGCTTTTTTGTGTTGTCGAACACTATTTTGCTTGTGAATCATTATAGGATGGATCAAATTCTGCGTCAGTACTGTGCAATATGTAAAGAATCAATTGTGAACAACGGGGTGGCTCTAACATCTAAAGGAATAGATGGTATAAACCGAGCTAGTAAAGAAAGAGGCGATACAGTTGACGTCCGTAAAGGTGACAGCGTTCACATAGCATGTAGGAAACGATACACAAATCCATCATATATTTCTAAATCGCTACGTCAGAAGGAAGAGCGTCATCCCGTACCAAGAACCCTTCGCTCACAAAGTTCAGTTCAGTTCGATTTCAGAAGAGATTGCTTGTTTTGCGGAAATGAAATTAATCAAGAACAAGAGCGCAAAAGGGGGCGTGTTGTTTGCACTGTTAGGACTATGGACATTCAAGACACTATCTTGAATGCTTGCAAAGTGAGATGCGATGACTGGGCCAAGTCCGTAAAATCAAGGATCCAAAGTGTGCATGACCTACCGGCAGCTGACGCAATGTATCATCATCTATGCAGTACAAACTTCAGGACAAAAATGAGAATTCCAGCACCATTTAATGACCAATCACCGCTCAAAAAGCGCAAATCAGGACGACCAATCAACAACACTGCCAACGATGCATTTTTAAAGGTAGCTCAATATTTAGAAAACATTGATGACCAAGTTACTGTATTAGATTTAATAAAAAAGATGGAGGAGTATTTGGCGGAGTCCGCGACTGATAGTACCACATATAGCAACCGCTACATGAAAGAAAAGATTCTAGAGCACTTTGGGATAATGTGATTATCACAAATCAACCAGGCATGCCAAGTATTGTGACATTCAGAAGAACTGCTACGTCTATACTAGAGGAATTCCACATGCAGCAGAAAGAAAATTCCAATCCTGAAGATGAGAAACTGAATGTTATAAGAGCAGCAGCAAAACTTTTACGTAGTGACATAAAATGTATTGAAACACCAAGCGACATATATCCGTTAATCGACAGTGACATTGACAAAAATCTTGAATTCTTACCCCCAACACTTCAGCTTCTTCTTAATCAACTGTTTTCAGGAAAAGACACTTCTCGGAAAGTAGCTTTGTTGGTCAAGAGATTATGCAGTCAACTCGTCATCATGCTTTGCTTGCACCTTTACAGATTGAATGGGTGTTTTACTCCATCACAGCTTTGCCTCGCGTTTTTAATAGACACGCTTAATCATGCTGGTTTCTGTTCGTCATATGAAGAAGTCCTCTCATTCAAACGAAATGCAGCCGTAAGCCAAGGGACTATAATCCCGATTATAATGGTGAGTTTACACAGTATGGTTTGGATAACCTCGACCATAATCTCCGAACTATCGACGGGCATGGTACATTTCACGGTACAGGATTCCATTTCACCTAAAGGATTCCTTTTTTTCGGTCGTTGAAGACTTAACATGATTTTAATAGCCACGCTGCAGATTTATATAATCAAATATGATATTCGTTAGGTCAAAGCAGTGTTATTTTGTAATTCTTGTTTATAGCCTCGTTTTCATGTCATAATTTCACAGAAAACATTATTTTACGAAGTTGCCGGCCTCAGATCATGTGGGACTTTTAATATGTTGTTCTGTACATGAAAAGAAAGATATTTTTGAAGAGTGAGCTTTTGTGGGAATTAGTTCAAGGTTCAACCATAAATCTACTGGACTAAAATACTTTCAGGTTGATTCGCGTACACGTACAGAAATAACAAGTTTATTACTTGTCATTTTTGACGCATTCACTTACATATACTTGTTGATTTAAAATCTGTATCCTAACGGCGTAAAAGCGTTAGTGATAATACGCATATACGACAAGTTTTTTAAAATAAATGTGTTGACATCTCATGATGCCATCTTATGTCATATGCATAATATTCTTTATTATATTGAAGATGGCATCATGAGGTGTTGAAACATGTTTATTTAAAAAAACAACTTGTCGTATTCATCAAATGCTTAAAATATGTTTGTTAATAAACTTTCATCTTCTTGAGCTCGAATGTTGAAACTCCACGAAGATCTAATTTTTACTATTGGATCATCACATTTCGTCGTATTTCATAGAAAAAAAGATTAATCGCTTCTTGCAGACTACCGTAAATGAAATAACAATGTTTCCATCATCAAACAAACGACTCAGCCCCCCATTCACCACCATATTACCCATTTGATAAAATAATAACAGCGTGCTTTTGAATGGGTTTAAAACTGTGTATTCACTCCAACAGTTTTGTTCGCACTACTGTAATAGAAATGATACAAACGCCTGTCACTATTAAACACCACGTATGCATTAAAAGCCCACCAGGAGGACCGACAAAATTCATTAAATGCACCGGGCGTTCATTTCATTAGATCATTTTCTGTAGATGAAATGATGCGAATTGTGACCACCAGAGGCATAACTAGAACGTTAATGGGGAGGATGTATATTCATATATTTAGTTGTGCCCCACTGCTTTCTTTGAAATCAAATCACTTTCAAAAGAAATCAGTAGAGTACAACGGAATATATTAATATGCAACTTCTCCCACCCCCACCCCCACCTCCAATTAACGTTCTAGTTACGCCTCTGGTGACCACTGCATGCATTTGACCAATCTTGACAGATTGACACTTTTATTGTACGCAAATGCGTACCTGTTTTACATTTACAAGTCACGTGATTTGTGCCGAAGCCTTGGCTCGGCGCCTCGCTTCCTCCAACTGTGGGCTTACTTGTGTGTTGGCTGGGCAGTTCTTTTAGATTGTGTCGTTTAACATTTGCTGGAACATACGTGGACGTTTATGGATCTATTCGAGGTCGATTCTTTTATATGATAATCCCAAACACGTTCGGTGGTAGCTATCTGGTTTATTTTATTGCTGTTGATCATCCCTATACCTGGAGTGAAGTATTGCAATTTGATCGAGTTGTATTTGTATAAAAGACACGTTCCTCTTACAATCTCAACCATTTCAGCTGATTTTCCCCTGAAATCGCGCTATAAGAAAGCGTATTGTCGAAAATGCCTGCTGTCAAAGGAGAAGGAATGCGCGGGCTTTCGGTTTTTATATCTGATATTAGAAACTGTAAGTATTTGTACCTAGTAATACGCACAGAAACTCACTTACCACTCTTGCCAATTTATTGACCTATATTTTAAATGGTTTATTGCTGAATTACACGTGGAAAATCCACTTTACTTCAGTGCAGTATTTCTTACAATTATTTCCTTATATTTATTTTATTTCTGTTTCTTATAGGCAAATCTAGGGAATCGGAACTCAAAAGGATTAATAAAGAACTTGCAAATATACGGTCGAAATTCAAAGGTAAATATTTGTATTTTTTTTAAAAGAGTTGTATGTATTTGAGAATTATCTGTGTGTGTTTGTCTAGTTGGGATCTTTTGGTGGAAGATCTTTTTAGTAATAGTTTTGGGGACAATTTCTTTGAGAGATTATTATCTGTCAAGATGTAACCACGTTGCATGAATTTATAATTTTTCTGGCTCATATGCGTAAAGTAACCTATTTCGAAATTAGCTGATTGCAAGTTTGTCAAAATGCCTCATACTGTTATATTTCAAAATCAAATTTGAAAGATCAATGTATCGTTTGACCGTAATTGCCCAATAATTACACTACGCTTAAATTGAGGTTTTGCTTTATTCGCTGTTAAAAATAACATGCATTCCTTTTTTGTTGCATTGCATTCTTCTATAATTTGAATTTTCGAAACAATTGTTACATAGTTTTTATTATTGCATTTTGTGATTCTATCTCTCACATACATTTTACAAATATCTGTAAGTTGTTTTATTACTAATAGTACAAACTTAATTGATAATTAATAATTGTTACAAAATATTTTGGTTTTTGTGTTACACAAATGTTTTATACTTGGACTTTATATCCTGTGTGCTCTAGCATGCTAAACTCAACAAGACGTATAGTCTGTGAATAGCGGGACTAAAATGTATTTAGTGCCTCAACAAGAATTGAGGGGAGATGCACATTTATTCATATATTTAGTTGTGTCCTTCTTTTAATATACTGGTTAATGGCTAACAATGTACTAGTTATCAGATTCTTGTCTTTTTTGTGTAGAACATCCTTTATAAAGAATAACTAAAACACAACCTCATGATGTGTATAAAAATTAGGGTGGTCTTTCCATCAATGAAGGAATCTTGTTGTGGTGTTGTGTATGATAATTTAAGTTTTTCATTATGTTGCTGTATTGATGATACTAGGTTCTTAAGCCCTTTATGTTTAATTATTCAAATGGTTTGCACCTTGTGATGTATTCTGGCTGGCAAACAAATTTCATCTTTTTCGAAGGAAAATTCTGTAAATAACACTGTTACCTTTTATCTTTGTCACAATTAAGTGAATTCAAACAGTGCTACATATGTCTGCATGAAATTCCATATGTACTTGCACTAAAGTATTATTTTTTCTTTACCAACTTAGTTATTGATTGTCACGCAAAACATTCATTGTATATACATGTTGGCTGAGCTTGTACCAGTTCCTTATTGATTTCAATGCATATGTGCTTGCAAGCTTAGTTTGCAACAATAATTTTTATTTCTTCAGGACAAATGTAGACCACATTTTTACTCGGGTTGTGTATGGCAAACTCAAATTTAAAATCCAGATTTTCCTGTTTCAAGATTACTTAACTCAGGCATAAACAATGCTTTAAACTAATGGAAATCTTGTTTTAGATCATGTAACTGATGATATGTATAAAAATTAGGGTGGTCTTTCCATCAATGAAGAAATGTTGTTGTGGTGTTATGTATGATAATTTAGGTTTTTCATTATGCTGCTCAAGGAAACAAGATTTGCCATAATTTCATAGACGCAATATCACTAATGCACATTTAATGTAGACCAGGAGATTAACAAGATTTACTTATACATAGTATATTGCCACATGTGACATTCCATAACACTGAATTTCATTGTGCTATGTGAAAACTACTATCATATGTAAATAAAACCAAACACTGATCTCAAGTAAACTGAGTGAATGTCTGATATGTAGGTGTCTTGTTGATTGTACCGTTAAAAAATCACTTTTGTTTTAAAAAGACTATTTAAGTGAACTTTTAGTTTGGTGTTTACATTTTTATCTCAATGTTATTGTTTTCTTTATGTAGGAGATAAACAACTTGATGGCTACCAGAAAAAGAAATATGTGTGTAAACTGCTTTTTATATTTCTACTTGGTCATGATATCGACTTTGGTCACATGGAGGCAGTGAATCTACTGTCGTCTAATAGATACACAGAAAAACAAATAGTATGTGAGACTTGAAAGTAACATCACGTAAAGATTGGACTGCGTTTAACAATGGTTTCCATCTTCAATGGATTGATTTCATAGTGCAGAATGTTGCTGAATTTTGAATAAAATCTATGCCCTGTTGCAATTTAATTTTGCAATTCTTTCAACAATGCCATGCCATAGAAAATTTACAAAGGAAATCAAAATTTGCATCTTTCATTCCAAGATTTGCACATTTTTTGTTAAAATGCTCGTCCCAAAAATCATTACAGTTGAAAATATATGAAATTCTCATGTTCGTTGTGTGATTCAAAAAGATTGCCATGACTGCTTTAAATGAATGTAGTGATATTTTTGTGGATGTCTTGTATACGTACATATGTATGTTTCTGTGTTGGCTAAAGTTTAGCTTCCATTTCTAGGGATATCTTTTCATCTCAGTCTTAATTAGTGCCAACAGTGATTTGATGCGTCTTATAATTCAAAACATCAAGAATGACTTAGCAAACCGTAATCCAGTGCATATCAACTTGGCCTTGCAGTGCATTGCAAATATTGGCAATGATGAAATGGTTGAGGCGTTTTGTTCTGAGGTTCCCAAGTTGATTATATCTGGTGAAACGTCAGACAGTGTTAAACAATGTGCTGCATTGTGTTTGTTGCACTTGTACCGACTTAAAAAGGATATTTTACACCAGTCTGATTGGACATCAAGGATTGTTCAATTACTCAATGATAAGCATCTGGTAAGTCTACTTATATTTTATGAAATTTTGTAGAATAATTATCACATTGTGTTTATCTAAATATCATGGACAGATTTAATTCTATGGTACAGGAGGATGCCACCTCCCCAAACAACAGATCCCTCCCTCCCCTAAATAAATTCTTTACCATCTAAGAAACATTTAAGCAGCCCCAGGTTTTAGCAAAACAAATCAGTTGTACAGTTGAACTGAGTGTTTCATGGCAAATTTTCAACTTTCTTCGCAACCATTTTGGCAGTACTTCTGGACAACCCTATGTCTAGACCCTTACATTTTTACGTAAGTTCCTGACCAGGTCAGCCACCCTCCACCCACCCCCACTAAAATTTTTAGCACCACCCTAGTAAAAAATATTAAAATCCGTCCATGCTACGTATGTACGTAAGTATACGTCCATTCATGAAAACCATTAAATGTATGTACATCACTTTTTAATGTACTTCAAGCGTGATGTGGCCACCCTTTGCAATACTGCAATCACTCCATGCTTGTAGATTTTGACAGTTCAAGCTGATATAGATTTGTTGTTTATTGAGTTTTGGACATTCTTAGCCGTAGGCATCTTTTCAGCCTCCTGTCAAAACTTCAGCCAACACCAACGCCAACAGTCCTCGTGACTTTTTAACATGAACTATTCATATCTATAAGCATGTGACGATACTTCTCACTTCACTGCAACAGTCATTGGCTACGCAATTACACAGAAAATTGTACGGAAGTCATTCAATAACTTTTCTTGCTATTTCTGCAGGATTCTGCATTAACATAAACTATTAATATCTTTAAGCATGTGACGATACTTCTCACTTCACTGCAACAGTCATTGGCTACGCAATTACGCAGAAAATTGTACAGAAGTCATTCAATAACTTTTCTTGCTATTTCTTATTTGCTTTATGCCTATTGCTTGTAAGTTGATAAATCAGTGAGGGTTGTGTTGTTTTTTGCTGAAGACTCTATTATCTATTTCCTGTATTACTTGCTCGCCAATTCGGCATTTCTGATGAATATTGCAATGACGATTATAATTTTGCATTTTTGGCGTGAGGGAACCGAATATCCGGTTGGACTGTTAAAATCATAACTTAATCTAATAACTCGGGGATCAAAGATTTGGATGAAAAGACAGATTTGTTTTCTCTAAACATCTTCTGGTATCATTCTCTGTAAGCATCATAGCTATGTACATACACTTCATGGGCATGGGCATTTCACGTGACTTGTTACGTCATTTCAGTATTGTTTGTTCTGATTTGATGTTTTAATTCTTTTGGTGTTTAGTTTGAAACCTTTAGATGTCTGCTCTCTTTAAGTGAAAATTTCGTGTATGATTCATAAAACTATTTTCGCTTGTTTTAATCATTAGTGGGTGAATAATTTATGATTTGAAAACTGCTTTTCTTCAAAAAACCACTGATCCCATTGGATCCATTTTATCAAGAAAAAAAATGTTCTGTTTCTTGCTACGTACTTCAGTGGAAATGTATTTCTCATGGACAGTTAAAAAATTTATTGTTTTTTTAGGGCGTCGTGACGTCAGCCACCAGTCTTATACATTCACTTGTTCAACGAAGTCCAGACGAGTTCCAAGGATGTGTACAAGTAGCTGTAGCGCGTTTAAGTAGGGTATGTATGTATGTTGGTGTATATGTTTCATACGTACGTAGAGAAGGATATGTTTGTATATTGGTTTACATGTTCCATACGTACATAGAGTAGGGTATGTATGTATGTTGGTGTACATGTTTCATACGTACGTAGAGTAGGGTATGTTTGTATGTTGGTTTACATGTTCCATACGTACAGTACCGCTCGCGTATTTGTTAACATAATTTTGCGTATGATACGCGTATCATACGCGTATCGTTCTCGTATCATACGCGTATCTTTCTCGTATCATACGCGTATCATTCTCGTATCATACGCGTATCGTTCTCGTATCATACGCGTATCTTTCTCGTATCATACGCGTATCCTTCTCGTATCATACGCGTATCGTTTCATTTTATACGCATGTCTTTCTCGTGTCATACCCGTATTACTTTCTTAATATTCTCGTATATGGTTTCAATGGTTTTTATTTCCTCCACACCGTCGGGGCGAGAAAACGTTTCTTCGTTTTTTCGAACCTCTGACAACGGCTGAAATAGTCTGTCTGCTTACAGGACAACTGCTCGATGCTAATTCGCGGCTAATTTCAGTGTATTTCTTTCCTTCCTTACTTAATATTAGTATTCTTTCCTGGGCATAAGGTGATAAACGTGTCCCCGCAGACATGACAAATTAGTTTTAACACGTGCGTATCTACGTCTGCAATCTCTGATAGTGTCCGTATTGAATGAATAGTGGTTTCATGCGACAAAACATTTTTTTGCCGTACGATACGCGTATCGCGTATATCGATTTTTACTCCTTTGAGCGCTGAAACTAAATCTCTAAAATTTACAGAGCACCGCGCTCAAACGATTTATTATGATATGGCTTTTTGCCAATTGCCTATAAAGTCTATCAAGTGACAGTTGGCTATTCTGTATTTCTCGAGTAGACGAGGAACTTTGTTGTGAATGTGAATTTACAACGTAGTTGGATTCGATTGTTGATGTTGCAAGATGCACATCCATATAAGCATGTTATTAATAAACGTGCATTCTATTCGTATGAATCGAATCGTATTTTAATAAAAGGCACGTTTCGTCGTGATATAATAAACGCCTTAAATAAAACATTAAAGTCGATAAGAAAATATTACACAGATTTCTGAAAGTACATAAAACATTAGCTTTAAATGTTGACCAAAATTTATCCTGAAAAAATAGTGAAATAACATAGAATTCCATACCAGGTATACTACGTAAGCAATATCAAAAAAAACCAACGAAATCGTTAACAATTTGAAAGCAAAATTGCTGCTCATTACGATGAACAAAGTTCTATCAAGTATCACAGCGTTTCATCCTCGTATCATACGTACGCTTATCCTTCACGCATTATACGCTCATCATACGCGTATCCCTTTCGTATCATACGCGTATGGTTCTCGTATCATACGCGTATCCTTTTCGTATCATACGCGTATCGTTCTCGTATCATACGCGTATCCTTTTCGTATCATACGCGTATCGTTCTCGTATCATACGCGTATGTTTTTCGTATGATACGCGTATGATACGCGTAGCGTATGTTAACAAATACGCGAGCGGTACTGTACGTAGAGTAGGGTATGTATGTATGTTAGTGTATATGTTTCATACGTACGTAGAGAAGGATATGTTTGTATATTGGTTTACATGTTCCATACGTACGTAGAGTAGGGTATGTATGTATGTATGTTGGTGTACATGTTTCATACGTACGTAGAGTAGAGTATGTATGTATGTATGTTGGTGTACATGTTCCATACGTACGTAGAGTAGGGTATATTTGTATGTTGGTTTACATGTTCCATACGTACGTAGAGTAGGGTATATTTGTATGTTGGTGTACATGTTTCATACGTACGTAGAGTAGGGTATATTTGTATGTTGGTGTACATGTTTCATACGTACGTAGAGTAGGGTATATTTGTATGTTGGTGTACATGTTTCATACGTACGTAGAGTAGGGTATATTTGTATGTTGGTTTACATGTTCCATACGTACGTAAAACATGAATTGCCGTTTAAATTTTGCCTTTTGTGCGTGAAAGGTTTTGTCTGAAAACAAAACCTCGATCGGCATCTTTGAAACGTTCTTGACGTCTTTTTAACCCCCTTTTGGTATCTTAACCAATGAGTGCTCATCTCGTTTATTTGTTGACCAATCGTATTAAAGAAATTAACCCCCATTATGCAAAGAAAAAATAATAACTCCTCAGTCGAGCTTTCGTCGTTTTGAATGTTTTTATTCAAAGTAAACAGCGTAGTTTCTTATCGCACAAGTTATATGTTTTCGTTTCTCTTATTTTCATATATTACTGTCGAAGGAGGAAGTTGCGGGTTTCTTAAACAATTACACAACTATCTACGTTAAGACTGTTTAATGTTTCGTTTTAATCAAGGACATTAAAGTCCATACCATTTGCAAATTCAAATGAATTAAAAATGCACCCAGTTTCGCTATCATTGGTCAACAATAATGAGGTGAATCTTATTGGTTAATCCTTAAACTGCCGACCTTTTTAAAGAAAGTTTTGAAGGGTTGCTCGTACTTGCTCGTTCAAACTGCTTGGTGAACTGGTGTTCGTAAGGTTTAATTGTTGCCCTAAAAGCAACTCCTCCTTGCCTTAGTCTGAGAGATCTAAATGAGTACGTTATATTTAGATGTACTACTAATTCTATAGATCGTGACGGCGTCGTATACGGATCTTCAAGATTATACGTATTACTTCGTACCAGCACCGTGGCTTTGCGTCAAACTTCTTAAGTTATTGCAGCTCTATCCTCCACCAGGTACGGCATATATGTATTGATGCTCATGCGTTATTACAGTATGCGTGTTGTTTATGAAATTGAATACATGCGTTGTGATGTTAGCACAGGATATGTATGTATGTTATATTTACCGGCTGGAAGCCTCGGTTGGAAAAATATTCTCCCGAGGTCTCAAAAGGAGCCCGAGAGCTCAAAATGTTCTTTACATCCTGACCGACCTAAATGACGTATTTATTTTTTTGCTTAAGGCGACAGTCGTATTGTGTTGTGCACGTCTAACAACGGCGGCAAAGATAACAGTCGAAACTTTTCTGTTCGTTTTATTTGGGAAAATTTAAATTCCCTTTGAAATATAGATTATTACAATCAAAACTTGGCAATTAATTTCCTTTGTTAACAAATGCCAACAAAACAAAACATCCTTTCCCTCAAGTAGCTAGTTACATATGTAGCTACGTACGTAGGTTAGCTAAAGGATTACATCCCCCAGTCAGAGATAGTGAAATTCCGCTCGCCGCTGCAGCAATCAGATCTCAGGGAAGGCTAGAATTCTGCCTACAGCTGATTTGTAAAAAATAAATAAGTTTCATAGTACAATGTTATAAGACATCTAGATCGGCGTCGTCGCCAGACCTCAAGATTGGTTGTGCTATGTGAATTTTTCGTTATTGTCATTATAAAAACAACAGACTTCTAAAGAAATAGATAACGCTAGTGATCTGAAAGTTACACTAAGCATGACATCTGGGCTCTACGTCACTGCTTCAAACTTCTACACAGTTTGCTAAATATTGGGCTGCGTTACGTCTTGCAACTTTCCTGTCGTTACGTTGTAGTACACGATCAAGATCTAAACGCATGTTTCATTACAAATTGACAATTTATGAAGTATGTTGATTTTTGGTTTTTCTCATTGTTAGTTGATGATCCTGCCACATTGGGAAGATTGAATGAAGCACTGGAGGCAGTCCTAAATAAGGCTCAGGTTTGTTTTATACATCCATTTATAGATAATATTGTATAGTAATACATAGTAGAGGATCAATAATTTACGTACGGTTGAAGGAAAAAACACTTACATAGTTAACGAATTAAAGTCAGTTATCAGTCTTAAGCTATGATGTTAGCAGAAACATGATGGGCATCGTTTATCGTGAACAGTGTTTTACGTACATTATAGACTTGTTCATGTGCATAGGACCCGAAAATTGTGCTGTTTGAACTATACTTTAATTGAACATAACTTTTCCAATAACAGTGTTTTTTCTTAAATGGTACAAGCATTTCACTTTGCATTCTCAAGATACTTAACCATACGTATGTACGTCCCATTGCATACTTGTAATGAGAATTTGAGTTATCAGCTATATATTTGCTAATATCTTATTTCAATTCTAATCATTTCAACTAAAAGTGGCCTGGAAATTAAAGGGTGTTTGGAGCTTTGCTACATCTCATTATGCAAAACGACTTTGCATGTTGTGTAAATCGAACGTTAACTAACACTATGGCTACATACAAACTCAAATCATAACATACATTGTTTTGTCACATGTAGATAAATACTCACCAACGTGTTGTTTTCACAGGAGCCTCCGAAGTCAAAAAAAATTCAGCATTCCAATGCTAAGAATGCTGTTTTAATTGAAGCAATAAGCTTGATCATTCATATGGACTGGTACGTTTTAACACTATTTGTATCGTGTCGGATTAAACAATCAATTGAAGCGAAATGCCTGGTTTTACACTAGAAAAGTTTTCTTTTACAGAAATTCGCACTACAGCATTAAGGCCCGTTTCCACTTACAAAAATTTTACTTGGAAAGGAAAATTTGCGGGATGTCCATTTTTCCTTTCATGTCCGAGTGGAAATAAATATGGAGGCATTAAATAGACGTATATTCCTTCTTTTACTAATAAGAAACCGCTACATAAGGTTGGAAACACAAAATAAATACAAGAAAATATGTTGTACGACGAATATTTTCTTAAACAACGACTAACCGGTTAATTTGCAACTCTTATTCGGGGAAATAACTTGTAGACCACGAATGCTTTTCAAACAATTTTGCATTACTTTATGCTAATTGTTTCTAACATCTGTGACCTGATTGGCTGACTGCTAATTTTCCATCTGACTGAGTACACAAAGTTGAAAAATTTCTACTTGAAGAAACATTCAATTTTTTTATTGGGTAATTCGATCGAATCTTTTGCATTGCTTAAAGCATGCGCAACCTGGAAAATTCTACTTTCCAAGGAAAATAATCTTAAGTGGAAACCGGCCTTTAGAGGCAGTTGCTGTCCATCTTTTCTTGTCGAACCGAACTAAGAATTTCGTAAAACATAAAACCAAATGTCATAATTTAAAATTTGCATCTATATACGTAAGTAATTTGTTCGCAGATTTTGCAACGTACAGCTGCTTATTTTTGAAGAAATAGAAAATACTTTCCGTGTTTGCATGGCTTACTCAAACCGAGTAGACTTTGGGAAGAATTTGAGAGCAGAATAGTGCAAACCGTAGACAGCAGGTCGATACGACAACAATGCGCAATAGGTAAATTAAAAAAAAAAAAAAAGTCTGAATTTTTTCTCAAACATGTATTCAATGCTCATTTTGCAAATTCTCTTTCATTGATTTAATTAATTGAGCTCAGTTCGATTTGCACAGGCTAATGCGAACTCAGATCTAGACCAATCAGCGGACGTATGATATTTTTGTTTTATAATTTGAAATAATCGCTCGCCCTTGAATCTCAATTTTTTCACTAATATTTTGAGAAGCAAAAAAACAACTCGCTTTATCTACTGTTTGTCTTGTTTTCCCATTGATTTTCAATTAAGAAATAAAATATGTTTACTGTGTGTGCAAGGGCTTATTTAAATCCGTGCAGACCTTTGGGAGAACTCGAGAGCAGATCAGTGCAACCCCGAGACCGAAGGTCGAGGTTTGCACAGGCTCAAGAGTTCTCACAAACGTCTCCGAGGTTTTCATAAGCCTGCGCAAACATGAAAAACATGTTTTAATTCTTTTATAAAATAAAATAATGCGAAAAAGACAAATATTTTAATTTTTCCTCCAAAAATGCGTTCATGGTCGATTTGCAAATTCTTTTTGGCTGATTGATTGTTTTGATAGATTTGATTGGTTGAGCCCAGATGTGCTTTGCACAGGCTAATTCAAACACAGCTCTATACCAATCAGCGCACGCGTTTCGTTGTGTTTATTTTATAATACGCTTTACTTCTTTTTTTAGTGAACAAAGTCTTCTCATTCGTGCTTGCAATCAACTTGGACAATTTTTAACTCACAAGGAAACCAATTTAAGGTAATGACAAAGTTCGTATTATTCAGTTTTTTTGGATTGAAATAATCCTGATACTCCGTGTGATATTAATGACACAATCTCAACTGCTAGATTTTAAAGTTTCGTCATCATTTTATTATCAGTTTTATCAAAGCCTTATGAAATTAACATAACCATTTTGAAAAGTTAGTATTTAGTGCAGGGGTGGGCAACATACGGCCCGCGGGCCGGGTCCGGCCCAGAAGGGATTTTGATTGGCCCGCCGAATGTATCCGACCATTGAATATTGAATATTATTCATGTCATAATCCGGCCCACCAATAAATTCATTTTCCTAAATCTGGCCCGCCGACTGGAGAAGTTCCCATCCCTGATTTAGTAGATGGTACTAGACTATCATCACTTAAAGAATGAGTATAAGCTCATGCTTTGCGCGCTTAAATTTTATGTTTTCAAATACGGGAACTTTCGTGCTCTTTCGTGAGATAAACAATCCGGTGCGTATTCAGTAGAGGTTTTGTTTCGTTTACTGACTTTTGTGATCATATTTATTTATAGGAAGCATTTATGGTTGATACTTTGACTGTTGCTACGATATTCACGCCGTATTTTTATGCTGTACTAATGTAGTCAAATCAAACATATTATAGCCGCCATTTTCGGGGTCGCTTAAAATGGCCAACCAAGCGCGCAAAGCATGACCCTGATACTCATTTTGGCCCCTGTAAGTTCTAGCCTCGTTTAATAACGGCACTTTCAAGATCTTGATACAAAGCAATTGGTTTTGTGTGTCTCTCTCTCACAAATGTACTTACATCTTACTCTATCTAATTCTCGAAGCAAACTTCCTTCGTAAAACGAATGGGCTTTTTTTGTAGATATTTAGCTCTTGAAGGTCTTTGTGCCATGTCTCAGTCCGATTACTCCAGCGATGCAGTGAGAAAACACCAAGAAACTGTTGTCAAAGCTCTTAAGGTGCGTTGGAAGTCGTATTTTTCTTTTAAAATTGATGGGAGCGACTTTGTTGAAATAGACATAATTATATTTTACTATTTTTTGACATTGGGTTTCGATTGCTTGATTCAGTTGCGATGTCGTCCGAGGCATGGACTTTACCTGTCGTGATACTGGGTCCAAGTCCGGCTACCTGAACCTTGTATAACATGTTCAGCTTCTTTTTGTCTATAATATATATTTCACTTTGTGATAGATCCTCCATAAAACTGACCTCACATTTAGCATAATTATCGTCGCAATCTTACTGCACGTGGTTGATGTTGTTGGGGGGAAGGGTATACCTTTTACTTACTTACTTATACTCAGCAAACGCCTTCAATACGGAAACAGTTGTGACTGTTCACTTTTTTTCGTCTTTGCAGTGTTTTCACTAAGAGGCGGTAAACGGCGGAGATACAGTATATGCAACAATAAATTAACAAATATACTTTTCTGGTTTCTTTTCCTCGCCTGTTTGCAAAAAAAACACACGCACACAATGAATTAATGCATAAATAGATGTTGGCCAATTACTGTACGTTCTACGTTGCTAACAAACACCTTAAAAACGGCAGTTCAATGCCAAAACGGTCAGGTTTAGCTTGTTCAAAAACGTAAATACTTCGTTGTGTCAAGTGCCCAAATAAACTTCAAGACTACTCCTTGTTACTTTTATTAACAAAATACGAAGTCTGATTTTTTGAGAATTTTAGACGTAGACGCCTGTTTTTTTAATACAGCCTGCTGTGATGAATCTTAGTGAAATCACTGGTGTGAATATGTTTATATAGGATGAACGTGATGTTAGTGTACGTCAAAGGGCGGCGGATCTTCTCTATGCCATGTGTGATAAAACAAATGCTGAAGAAATTGTATCTGAAATGATTGGATACCTTGAACATGCTGACTACTCCATCAGGGAGGAAATGGTTCGTATAAAAATATTCGTATAAAATTTTTTGGGGGGGTGAATATTCGTTTATTCAGCTCTGCCCTGCTAATTTCTTTTGTTGGCGATTTTTATTTCAAAAGAAATCAGCTGGGCAGAATTGAATATATGAATATTTAACGCCCCCTCCCCAATTAGCGTTCTTGTTTCGCCCCTTCTTGCGTTGTTAGTTATCTTTCTGTTACAGTTAGCCATGAATTTATGTATTTTAGAGGCTGGTTTGGAATTTTATATTATAAAACTAACCGGTTTTCTTCATGGCACCCGGATGTTCTGTGTTTTCTTTTGATTTTATTGCGATATCACGAACAGGTCCTAAAGGTGGCGATTCTTGCCGAAAAGTATGCGACAGACTACGAGTGGTATGTGGATACGATCCTTAGTTTAATTCGAGTTGCTGGCGACTATGTTAGTGAAGAGGTAAGATTGTCGAATGTCACAAACGAAATAATATATTTTCAGTGAGTTTGTGTTATGTTTTTTCCATCAAACTTTTTATCAAAATTTTGACTGTAAAATTTTATTCATCGGTCCTAGAAAGTCGATGAAATTGCAGTACATACGTAACATTATCGTATGGCAATCGGGCACAATGATATAATCCTTCCAGTTACACTTTTCAATGGTACACGGCCAGTATGATATAATAAAAAATTGTTTGCATTTCAGGTTTGGTTTCGTGTCATCCAAGTTGTCATCAACCGGGATGACATACAAGGTTACGCTGCGAAGACCGTATTCGAGGCATTGCAATCACCTACCTGCCACGAAAATATGGTCCGTGTTGGTGGCTACATTCTTGGAGAGTTTGGTAATCTCATTGCTGGTGATCACAGGTCAAGGTATGATCAAAGATTTGATTGTTACCGTGAAAAGAAATCTTGTCTCTTTCGATCTCAATGAAATGGAACTGACCCTGTAAATTTCCCCGATATTTTTTGAGAGTAAATTTGTTTAGAAAATTAAGTTTCCAGTGGCCGATAAACTGTGCTTCAAAATAGAATACAAAAAGCTCATTCTTTGATAGCGTACAATTACATTTCAAAAATTGCATCTTCAATTGGTTTTAAAGCGATAGTATTATCATAGTCTGTTTTCGTGTCTATTTAGTCCTATGGTACAGTTCAACCTGCTTCATAGCAAGTTTCCTTTATGTTCATCATCCACCCGTGGTCTTCTCTTATCTACATATGTCAAATTCATCAATCTCTTCCCGGAAATTAAACAGCAGATACAGGAGGTACGATTTATAATCTTCTAATGACAAATGCCTCGCAGTTATTCTACGACCTGTCGAGTCGTAGAAATATGTCTCAAATAGTTGGAATACATTTGGTCTGTTGAGCTTGCAAACGGAGGGGGGAGGGGGTGTTAAAGTTCATCCGACTGTGTGGAGAAATAGTATTTGCGTACAAAACAGGAATTTAAATTGTTTTTTATACCGATTGCCTGTTCCTCGTAAACCACAGCTAGAGTAAGATATTTAATACAAACGATCGTACTTTGAATCGTAGACATCACATATTTTCCATCCTCACTTTGTAATTAAATGACGGAACTCATGACAATTGCTTTCTGAAATGTTCAAAGGAAGCGCTTTTTGATGTTATACTTAGCATCATTTTATGATGTTATTACAGTGCCCATGAGATCATCGTTTGTTTGTCATGTCATCGCAGTGCAATGACCTTTGACCAACGACTTTTGTCCGTGATATTTTTTACCGCCAACATAACTCTATTCGTCATCGAGCCAATTTATTTCTTTTTTCAAAGTGCAACACTCCACAGTCACAGTTGTTTGTTTATTAGGTTATTAACATGCCTTTTTCCATTGTGTTTTTCTTAGATTCTAAAACAAAACAGTAACCTACGTAGCAGCGATGCAGAAATACAACAACGCGCCCTTGAGTACTTCCAACTTAGCTCTATTGCAACCCAAGACGTTCTGGTACGTATGTAGTTAATGCTGGCTTTACACTTGCTACGTATCGTAACGTAACATGGCGCATGCGTGCTTATGAATTTAATAGTCAATAGGCATAAGCACGCATGCGCCATGTTACGTTTTGCTACAATACGTTACGATACGTGGCTAGTGGAAAACAGGCTCAATGCTGGCTTTACACACCGTTGCTTTGTAGTGGTGTACGAACAGGATTCAGTTATTGGTATTGATCACGTTTGGGTTCATGTAATCAGATTTGAATAGTATGTTTCACCTAGTATATCTTGTATTATTTCACTATTTATTGCATTTTACTACAAGAAACTTTTTTTAAAAGGATCGAACTGATTAGACGTGTAGCTACGTACAACGTTCGAATCACTGCCCTCAACAGTCACTTTCCCTGTGTCGGAATAATCCATCATCTCATCACGTGATCATTAGATTCATGCGAATGCGATGTATATATGTTTATAATAAGAACTGTAGCATTTCAAAATATCAGTATGACGTTCATGGGTCTGCTTCACAACATTTCCATACGTAAATAGTGTGTGTAGTGCAGCAACGTAAAGCTCTAAATTTTAAATGTTTTTCGTTCTCTTAAAAGATATTTGCGATTATTTTTTGAATTAGAAATCCTCTTTAAAGCTTTCTATTTGAACGATCCAAACGAGCAGTTGCTCTTATGCGCTCAAATCTTTTGTTCACGACCTTTACAATAATGCATGCAAGTCGGGTAAAACAACCGCTCATTCATCGCGTCTTGGATGTGTTTTAGGCGACTGTCCTGGAGGAAATGCCTCCGTTCCCTGAAAGAGAGAGTTCCCTTTTGGCAAAATTGAAAAAGAAGAAGGCATTGGCGGCCGGTATCCCTGAAGAAGAGATCGCTGAACCAACAAAACCTGTCAACGGGCATTCGACTTCTGAAAATGAGACGTCATCACAACCCGGATCAAGTGAAGCACCTCAACCCACCCCTATCGCCAGCGCTCCATCCTTACTAACCACTAACAATTCGGCCGGTTCTGGTTTACTCGTCGAAGTATTTGAGAATACTTCCAGCACCGTGTTCGGTAGTGCGCCCACCACATTGTCGCCTGGGGCTGAGGATAATCTTAAAAAGTAAGAGCTAGTTGCAAGAGCTCTGTTTATTAGTTTTTGAACTGTAAATTTGTTTCATAAGCAAGTTACAGCTATGAAAAGCCTTACTGCAGGTTAGTTCATGACAGTGTAATCTCGATGGGCTTCGACGAATGACGAAAGAGTGTAGTTTGTATCATTGAATATTTCAAAGTACTGTAGTAGTTTTTGGAGCAAAACCGTCCTATGAGCAATAGTTCGGTGAAGAAAAATTAGTACAGTAGTAAAGGCTCCTCTTGCACTTTCTGCAATGACTACAAGGTCGTTTCATCTTCTGTAATTATAAGTAATTACTGTGAAGGCAAGCGGATATCATTTCATGCAAAAACTTGGCTCTTGGCTATAGTATGTTTTCACCATTTGTGTCGCTGTTCGTGATATTTAGTTCTTTTCTTTTCTTTTTTTCGTTATTTTTACAGGTTTGTGTGCAAGAACACCGGTGTGGTGTTTGAAAATGATATTTTACAAATTGGACTGAAATCGGAGTATAAGGATTGTTATGGTGAGTTCTAAAATGTCGAATTCTTAGATGGCAATCATCTTGGTTATGGTTATGGTTAGGTGGCAATCATCTCGGATTGTCCCGGCCTGCTGAGCTACTAATAGTGGGGCATTTTTAAGAAATAACGAGAAAAACCTTGCGATTACATGGCTAACGAGTCAATCAACTTTGCGGAGACATTAGTTACAGACAGCCAACCGTAATGAAAATTGTTCCGTTAGCTCATGTACGTATTGATTTCTTTGAGTTGTTCTGTGAAATTTGTTGAACGGCATCAAGCTTATTTTCATCGCGAAAGATTCACTTATTCTGTCGGAACAACCCGTGCATGTAATTAGGCTCTTATCACTAATCAACTTATTGGAATAATGGCAGCCGATATGTGCGGCACAACATGCTCGGAGGGTGGCGAAAGAGATCAAAGTTTCTGACTCAAGTGTCCCTTCTGTATGTTCCATATCCTGTGCTCTTAGTTGTATTTCTTTGGAATCACAGTGCATATCGAAATGCATGTATTTCATCTAGTACTTCAAGTCGTGTGATCAACAATGAGTGCCTAATAACAGTAGCTATGTTGTACTTTCTAAAAACATGCGGTAAACTTACATTTGGTTGATATATTTAGGGCGTCTTGGTTTGTTTTATGGAAATAAAACCACATCTCAGTTTGCTGGTTGGAGAACTACTTTACATCTTCCTGGAGAACTCACAAGCAATATCCTTTTAAAGTCTGAATGGCTAAATACATGTAGAAATTGCCCTAAAGATGGCTGTCCGCTTTTCAGTATTTGTAAATGTAGCTAGATGCTATGCTCGTGGACCATGTCAATGTCCATATGAGGTATTACAGAGTTTTGGTTGGAGGTTTTTGTTGTTTCAAAAAAAAATTGAATTTAGTTTGGCGTTTTCCATTTGTATTTTAAAATTCGTATTGTCATGAGCTAAATTTCATGTTTTATTAAAAGTTTGTCGATGAGAAAGGCATATTCATGTTGTGAACTCACATAAAATAATTACATTGAGCCATAAACGTCATTTTGGTTGTATTAAAAGTACTAAAAAGCTTGCGGTACGTCATCTACCGTAACGTAAACCGCAAAGCCATGATTACGTGACTTTTTGCGGTTTGCCGTTAACTGTAAAGTAAAACTTTCTATTGATTGATGTTTTGTCGAAGTAGTTTTCGTCATTTTCATTATGATTGTGTCGCATAGAGTTATCTCTCTTCAAGGTTACTGCTCTTCAATTTCTTTGGTTGTAGTAGCCAGCTTTCAACAATTCTCGATGCATGATCTTCAAACCATTTATGAATATTTCCTTAACTAATTCTCACAACTGAAAATTGATCTCAAACCGGTAGCTCAGACTGTTGAAGGTGGTGCACAAATACAGCAACAAGTCAACGTGGAATGCGAAAGTGACTTCGCTGAACAACCGATATTGGATATTGCATTTACGTAAGAATTGTCTATTTTACATGTTTATTGGGTTTTCCTGACTTACCCAGTTTGTAACTCTCTGTAATCTCTAACTTTGCAATAAGCATTTTACTCTGAAAATGTCATGATAAAAATGTTGAAGCATCTATGCTTTAAAATTGTTTTTATTTTTATACAGTAGTTTATTCCCCTTTAATAGTTCTTTTGTCGAGGGGCTTGGCCCCCCAAATTTGTTTTTTTATTGTTATTGGTGGTGGTAGTTGTGTTGTTATTGTTGGTGTTGGTGGTGGTGTTGTTGGTGTTGGTGTTGTTGTTGTGTTTTTTGTTGTAGTTGTTGTTGATTGTGGTGGTAGTTGGTGTTGTGGTGTTGTTGTTGCTGCTGTTTTTGTCGGTGGTGGTGGTGATGGTATTATTTTTATTATTGTTGTTGTACTTTAGCTTAAGTTAAACACGTTGTCGTGGAGAAAACTTTACTTGAACCGTGTATTTTTGTAGTGTAAATGGAATTGGTCAAAGAATAACGTTGAAGCTACCTGTGTTTCTTAACAAGTTCTTCAAGTCATCATTAATGAATGCACAGGATTTCTTTTCTCGCTGGAAGCAATTGTCCGCGTATGTTTTACTTCTTATCGTTTTGTTATGTGGGTGTTTATATTCCAATGATCTTAACGTTCTATCTTCAACATAAGAGCGAACAGCAAATTATACCCTAAATAAAACTTCTAGAGAAGATGAGCTTATGCCTAAAAATATACACGACATCACACAATCTGATATCTTGTTAAATGTATGCATCAGTAGCCATGTCGATTTTCTCAAACTAGAAACACCACAGGTGAATTCACAATATAGAGTTCTCTGTTGTATATTATTAGTGCAAGTTTCGCTCGTTACTTCATGTGCTATTTCGTATGCGTTAATATTTTTATAATGCTTCGTGTTCAATTTACAGTCCCGGGCAAGAATCTCAGACCGTATTTGCTTCTGCGTTTCCAATGGATACTGAATCAGTGAAAGCAAAGGTTGGCAAGAAATTTCTTCAGTTGTTGGCTAAGTTCAACTTTCTTATTTAAGATTGTTTTTGTTCAATTAAAATTGCTTTCTTTAACGCTTGGTTTTTGTTAGCTTCTTGGCTTTGGTTGCGGTATTTTGGAAAATGTCGATCCTAATGCCGACAATTACGTATGTGCCGGAATCATAGGAACGAAGAGTACCCAAATAGGAGTGTTGATTCGATTGGAACCAAATAAAGTATCACAGGTAAGCTGCCTTAAAGATATAAAGAAACCGATAAAAATTCTGTTTTCATTGATTAAATTGCGATGAAATGTGAGTAAAAAGGCAGTAATATGCTTGACCATTAAAACATTCTCAACATTTTTCGTTTTGAAGAACCACGATGTTATTCAAAATATGAGTGTGTGTTCTTAATGGAATAATGGAAGTAAAATTTTAGTATAGGAATAATAGAAGTACTAGTAGAAATAGTACTAGTAATCGAAATAAGAATAATAGAAATATCTTTCTCTTAGATGCCTCTTCCTATCGACCGCTTTCATCCCCTTCCTTCCCCTAGTGAGAGCTTTTAAAGCAAAGAAGAAAAAATGCTGCTTTTTAATAAATTACACCTGTAATATGTATCTACTTCTATTTTCCTATTTTTACTGAAGCTCTGCTTGTTATATATTTCCTGGTAACTAAAAAAGCATCCCGCATTCTGTTTCTTGAAATTTCAAAATTTTTTGCAACACTAAATGATTTTCTGGGAGAAACGTTTCCACGATCTTATACATTTTTACATTTTCCATCCCTGGGTTAAGATGATATAAGTGGAATGGAATTCATCGAATGGAAAGGGAGAGGAGCTCGAATGAGGGTTGGAGAGAGTAGTTCGTGTGAATGTTGGGAACATGGACATGTGTAATTAACTAGATAGCGCAATACAGTATAACGCCCAATCAAAAGTTGAAACCAGTGTAATCGGGTGCTTACATTGTTATCACCCGATTACTAGGTCCCACTCAAGGAGTGAAACCCAACTTTATTATTTGACAGAGATTTATTCACGACGTATTTCTGTTATTTTTGGAAGGTAAAGCCATGTATAAACATAGCAGATTTTGTGGAAATATGATTATTATTAATATTATGATTACTTTTTTGTATCAAATGGGACCTTCCAATACGGCGGCTCTGGCTTCACAGAAATAGCGGAGTGCGTTATCCAATCTATTTTCAGATCAGTGGTTAGGAAGAAGAGTTTACTTGTGGGATTGGTTGAGTTAGTGGGAAGAATGGGGATAGAATTTCTTGTTAGGGTTTGCGAAGATGTTGGCGCGCTTTTAAAATTTTGTTTGTGCATAAAGTGCACAATTAATTAAAATATCCAAACCCGTGAAAAGAATGTGAATTTTCTCTTTTTGTTTCAGATGTACCGTCTAACCATACGTACGCCAAAACCAGCAGTGTCGAGTAATCTTTGTGAACTTTTAAATAATCAACTGTAGAGAGGTTGGACAGTTGTTATGTCAGTGCATGAAAATTTCTAATCGTTGTCCGCTTCAATGGCTGAGTGGACGCCCTCCGAATTTTTTAAATAAGTTTAAGAAGCATCAATTTATATACCACGTGATATTCGGTGATGCTTAGAATTATCCAATTGTGTGGCTGCGTGCTGATGTAATAGCTGTTATGAGAGGCTCCACTATAGCGTAGTATTCATTTTTACTAATCAGTGTTAATGCGTATTCTGTGTAGTTTCAAAATACTATTAATGCCAATCGTGAATTAAAAATTGCCAATTTCAACTAATCGTCTTTCTCTAACTTTCTGGTTACGCATGACGTTACCGTAGTTTGTCGTAGCTCGTCGTAATCCGTCGTAGTTCGTTGTGATCGATCCGTAGTTCACGGTAACACTGATCTATTACTAAAGAAACAATGATGTCCGCTAAACTGTACGAGGAGAATTTTCACTTGACTTGAATGTGCCTACATGAAAGATTTCAGAAAAAAAAACGTCTTATTTACAATGACCTTTCTGCAACATGGTTGTAAGTTTTTTGTATAGTATTCAAAAAACCAATGGCACATTTGTCAACACAAAGCATGAGTAGCAAAGTTCAAGCTTGCATCCTATTAAATTAACTTAGTAACACTCTCCACAATTTTTCTGTTATATTCAATGTTATATTCATGTCTTTGCAATATTTCCTTGACACCTTAAACTGCGTAAAACCACTATTGATAATGCGTATTTAGTAAATACGATAAGTTTTTTTAGCATGTTTATTTTAAACTTGTATTTATTAAATGCGCCTTTCCATGATACCTTAAGGATCATAGCACAAAAGTTATTTTTGACTTCGTGGAACTACACCATTAAAATTAAACGTATCGGCTATTTTCCATACTATACATTAAATTACATCGCTGTTTTTTCACACGATAGGAATATGAATGCGCAATGGTCAATTGCGTTACTTTCACCATATTCTTTCCAATAAAACATAAGATTTTAATATCTGGGCAGTGTGGAGGGTAGTAATTCGTACCAGGACGACGTAACGATTTGAGGCAACTCTTTCCGTAAAATTACAACAAAAAGATGTTTTCGAGACACTCGCATCTTAAAAGATGTTTACGAGGCCCTCGCATCTTAAAAGATGTTTACGAGGCCCTCGCATCTTAAAAGATGTTTACGAGACACTCGCATCTTAAAAGATGTTTACGAGGCCCTCGCATCTTAAAAGATGTTTACGAGGCACTCGCATGTTAAAAGACGTTTACGAGACACTCGCATCTTAAAAGATGTTTACGAGGCACTCGCATGTTAAAAGACGTTTACGAGACACTCGCATGTTAAAAGACGTTTACGAGACACTCGCATGTTAAAAGACGTTTACGAGACACTCGCATGTTAAAAGATGTTTACGAGGCCCTCGCATCTTAAAAGATGTTTACGAGACACTCGCATGTTAAAAGATGTTTACGAGGCACTCGCATGTTAAAAGACGTTTACGAGACACTCGCATGTTAAAAGATGTTTACGAGACACTCGCATCTTAAAAGATGTTTACGAGACACTCGCATGTTAAAAGATGTTTACGAGACACTCGCATCTTAAAAGATGTTTACGAGACACTAGCATCGCATCAACCATTTACAGCATGCTCGGCATGTTGTAAGTGTGTTCGATTATGGTTGTGCAGAAATTGTAAAAGTTAGCTAGCCAACCAAGTATTCTTTCAGTCAACAAGTCGGTTTGACGCTTAACTTCCCACACAAAAAGTGATAATTTGTTCCGCATCAAGGTCAGCCTGACATGTGTGACTTACCGAGCCCCTCCCCCCCCCATTTTATAGAAGGTATAACACAAGGTTAAAAAGAAATACAAAAATAACGTTTATAAACTCTAAAATTCTTGAGTAGATGTCTACGGCCATACCACAAGGAAAGCACCGGTTCTCGTCTGATCACCGAAGTTAAGCCTTGTCGGGCGAAGTTAGTACTTGGATGGGTGACCGCCTGGGAATACTTCGTGTCGTAGACTTTTTGATTTTTATTGTCGCAAGATTTTCATGCATCAGTTGTTGTGGGGTGGAGACTTGATGATCTTTGTTTTAGCTGCATGGAACAGAACGACGTTTGAAAAAACTTGGACAATTGCGAAATGTTTCCTTCAAATGTTTTTTATAATATTCAGCTTGGACGGATGTTTTTCAGGTGTTTAAGGCTATTCAAGATTTAAGGCTCTTACAGACGAACAAATTATCTATGACAAAACTCTATGTTACCATTTTTTGTGACAAATGTCCATGTGTACGTGCAGCAAATTTTCTATGGCAAGTTTTTCATGTGGCATATTTTCTTTGGCCGTCTGTACTCATCAACAAATTTTGTGTGACAAATTTTGTGGCCCGCGATATAATAGCACAGCGTATATCAAAGAGAATACGCGGGAAAATCAGCGATAATCAAAGTAAACAATCGTCGGCTGTTCAACGATGCCAATAAGTTAGAATGCCGTAGTAACCGTTTTGAACTACACAACGAAGCACAGTCCAACAGGCTCATGGTGACATCGCTGATACAATTACTGTGTAAACCTTAAGTGTACCCACCTTTGATGTAAGAAAGATCGATACCAGGGACTTCCTCTTTCATTATGTTCAGGATCTCTTGATAGTCTTTTTTCTTCTTATTTCTGTCTTTGTAGCATTCTGATTTTAAATTCCACAAACTCTCCCTTGTTCTAAGTAACTCAAGGAGGTGACTTGTGGCTGCATCAGTGCAACGCACGTTGTTGGCTGCCGCCATGTTGGCCGCTAAGACAGAGATCTTTGTGGCCACAACACTGAGTACGCAGAAAAATTCCGCTGACTAGGTTCATCACTGGCACGTCATTTGTTATATTTTCTTTGTTGGCCGTACAGACGAACAAAGTTCGTCATTTGGCCCATTTTTCTATGACAAATGCATTTGTTCAAAAGCTAGCATGCTAGTTTTTGAACAAATGCATTTGTCACAGAAAAATATGGCAAAGTGACGCGTACAGACGGGCGTATAAAACTTGTAACATAGAGTTTTGTCATAGAAAATTTGCTCGTCTGTAAGAGCCTTTAGTTCCAAATAAAATTCATCGATTACTAATAATCACAAAAACAGGTGAGGTCGATTTCAAACTAGATAAGTAAGAATTAAAGTTCGATAACGATTGTCGTTGTTTCAAACAATACTCTTGATCATTCTAAGTTTGGTGAAAGCATGATTGTAACCGGGGGGGATATCTGTCGTCTGTGTGGGGCCGACTTGTCCAATTTGAATCGAGTACATTTCATATGAAGCAACATGAAAACAGAAATGAAAGAGAGAAAATAGATAGGTCTGAGATTCGCGCAGTTGGTCATAGCTCCTTTATTATGTTGAATCATCAATTTATCAGGGAATGGATCTGATCATCGTAAATGATGTCGTTGGGTAGTTCATTTCAGAGTGCGCTGAGCCATTGAATGTTTGATATCTAAAAACGACTTGCAATGCAATAACATCAATTGAAGAATTCAGAATTCAAGCTGTCGGTATCTGATATTCTGATTCGATAATAAATACACAAAAAACTTGGAAATGCAAGTCTGTTCAAAAGGAACGACACTCAATTCATGGATCCAATCATGCAAGCAGGATTTGTGAAAGCGAAGGGGAGTTAATAAGGGCGCGCCTTTGATTTCAAAATGATGAAAAGCGTTTCTTATAGTATCAAAGAAGGCAATGATTAAGATATTTGTTGTAAAATTAATTTAATATATTGAAAGACCGTTCTTTGGGTATATATCTAAAATCATGAACATGTAAATGTGAACTGTATGTTGAACATTGCTTATATACTCTACTTATAGTTCAGCTGTTTCCATTCCCGCAACATGTTACACACGCGATACACGACAACAAAAAAGAACACTTTTGTTTGAAAAACATGAAAGTATTTCCCAGCTTAAAATGAACTGTGTTTGTTTTTCTGTGCTTCTTAGCTATGTATTTATGAAAAAATATTCAAATATTAATTCTCAAACGAATAATGTTTTTCCTCACGTTTTTGCCAGACCGACTTTTTTCATTCCCTAACATCATCTGGAGCGACTTTTTACATATTTTCCAGAAACTATGCCCTCCATCTTATCTGCTCCCTAGTCCAAACATAAAAAAGAATTTTCAAGACTCCATTGATTACTCGACTTAAAAATTACTGCAAAAATCTTACCATCAATAGAAAAATAAGTTTCCGTCAAGTGCATGGGTCGGAATACGTCTTCTGAATTGCTCTCAATGAATGTAAGTGAGCTTTTAGAACATAAGCGTTGGAGTAAATTTGCTTAGCATTGAGATAAGAAAATTTATCTTTAACACCTTGACAAAATGAATATCATCTTACTTATTTTGTTAAAGGCCGCACAGAGCTCGACCTTTAGGCAAAACATTCTTTTCTAATCATGCAGAAAAAGTTGAGTTGTTCATAAGAGATGGACTTTCCCGATGGGTAAAATGTCCAAAGGACCTACAGTTTGCACAAGTCAGGCGTATTAATAAAACGTGTTAAACTATTCAGTAAAAAGTGTAAAATAAACGCAGTTAAGTTCATAAAAATACCTTCTAAAATTTATTTTAATACAAGATGAGTAAAATATTTGTATAGTAATATTACTAGTGCATTGGCAGGGAATCAAACCCTGGTCTCTCGCGTGGCAGGCGAGAATATTACTACTGAACCACCAGTGCGACTAATAACGCGTAATAGTAATGGAATCATAGAAATTTTAATAAATGATTTAAAGTTTATTTCCATAGCTTGTTATTTAAACCTCCAAAAACATAAGGAAAAGTGTAAATTGCAAATATTTGACTGCCTTAAAAAGAATAAAAGAACAATTTAGTTTTAAAAGAATCAGTTACGAGCTTATTATGATGATATGTGTTAATATTTTGCCATAGAATAAATTCCCCGTCTCATGCGTTGCAGAATAGAATTCTACCAATAAATCACAAATATTGTTAGAAAAATCGTGTAAGAAAAAGTTTTAAAAAATGTTCAAGCAACGCTTAAGATATAAAGCGTATTGTTTAAAACGTATTAAAGTGCTTCTATGACGAAAACTTAACGTTAAAAAATCATTGATTTTAACATTCAATAGTTTTAACACATATCAATTATTGTTTTCGTAAATAAAACTTCGTAAATAAACTCGTCAATAATTTCTTTTACAACTAATTTGTCCTTTTATTGTTTTTTAAGGGAGTTAATTAAATGCATAATCTACTTTTTACTGATTACTTTAAAATTTTTAAATAATAAGCTTTCTAAACAAAACTTAGAGAGTCGTCGTAAAAGTTTCGCAAGAAATCATGGCAAAAAGTGGTAGAATTCTAGCCTGCCACGCGGGAGACCAGGGTTCGATTCCCTGCCAATGCACTCCCAATATTACTATACGAAGGTTTTACTCATCTTGAATTAATCCGTACATTTTACACTTTTTACTGAATATTTTAATACGTTGTAAACAATATGTTTTATAACTTAAACGTTGCTAAAACATTTTTTAAAACTTTTTCTCGAACGATTTTTCTAACAATATTTGTGATTTATTGGTAAAATTCTATTCTGCAACGCAAGAGACGGGAAATTTATTCTATGGCAAAATATTAACAGGGTATTGCTACCCGTCGAATCGATGATGGCTGTCTGCAAAAGTCCATTTAGTTCACTGACTTCCACAAGCGCGCTCGTGACTTAACATGCCAATGCGGCTTGCGCAGGTCCTGTTGCAGTGCTGGCAACAAAATTCTGCCGAGTCTGCGACAGTGGAGGCGTTCCTGGTAGCGTGACGTCTTGATCGTTTTACAGCGTTGCTCCGCCGCCTCAAATCATCCTTCTTGTTGAGACCGTTACGTGACTTGTCTTTCCAGTCGCATCGATCCGCCGCTTCGAGTTGCCAATTATCTATTGAAATTTGACATGTTTTCAAAGTGTATTTGAGAGAGTCTTTCCAACGCAGGAGCGGACGACCAGTACGTCTCTTTCCTTCAGAGAGCTCTCCAAAGAGTAGCTGTTTGGGTAATCGATTGTTTCCCATGCGAGCAACATTACCAGCCCACATTAGCTGCATTTTGGCGAGGGTAATCTCAATGTCCATGGAGTTGGCTCTCGTCAGAACTTCGTCATTCGTTACTCTTTGTTGATAGGAAATGCGGAGGGTTGCTCTTAGGTGACGTTGTTGTAGCTGACGTGTGACGTGTAGCTGACGTGGCGTGCTACGGTATAACGTCCAAGATTCGGCACCATACAAGAGAGTCGACCACTGCATTATACACGGCGTTCTTTGTAGTAACTTTAATCTCATGCAAAGACCACAGACGTTTCCACAGCCTGCCGAATGACGAACTGGCACACTGTATGCGGTTGTCAAGTTCTTTGTCAATGGAGCAGTCGCTGGTGACAGTACTGCCAAGATACTTGAAGGATTGAACGCTTGCGAGCGGAGTGTCATTGACAGTGATCGGGGATGTTATCGGTGAGTACGAGAGAGACATGACTTCTGTTTTCTTCGTGTTGATGATAACGCCAAAGGATTTGGTAGCAGCCTCGAAGCTATCCATCATGCGCTGAAGGGATTCATCCGAGTTGGAAACAAAAGCGCAATCATCTGCATATTGAAATTCTCTCATCAGTGTCCGCGTGCATTTGGTGCTGCATTGGAGGCGACGAAGGTTGTAGAGCGAGCCATCCATCCTGGATCGTATGTATATGCCTTCTTCAGGTATGTTTTCAAGGGCATATGTGAAGAGAGCAGTCGCAAAGAGGGAGAAGAGGGTGGGAGCAAGTATACAACCTTGCTTCACTCCATTGTTGTAATGAATGTCACGAGTCAACTAGTCGCCTACCGAGATCTTGACGCACATGTTGATATGTAATAACTTTAAGATATTGCCAAATTTTGGTGGGCAGCCCATTTTTGCGACAATGGTCCACAGTGCCTCACGGTTCACAAAATCAAACGCTTTGGTAAAGTCAACATAAGTCATGTATAGCTTTTGGTTCTGTTCTCCCGATTTCTCCATGAGCTGTCAGAGGGCGAATATCATATCAGTCGAGCCACGATTTCGGCGGAATCCACACTGGGTTTCTGGCAGTTGTGCTTCGGCAATAGGATCGCACATTCTAGTTAGCAACACTAGAGCGATTATTTTCCCGGCTACAGCCAACAGACTGATGCCTCGATAATTGTTGGCGTTATGGCGGTCATTCTTCTTGAAGATGGTGATAATTTTCGCGTCACGGAGTTCAGCAGGAATGGTCTCATCGGACCAGATCTTTTCAGTTATGCCATGCAGATGTTTGAAACAAGGGTCCTCCGCACAAAATATTAACACGTATAAGCTCGTAACTGATTCTTTTAAAACTTATTTGTACATTCATTCTATTTTATAGCAGGATATTATTTGCAATTTATACTTTTACTTATTGTTTTGGAGGTTTTGAATAACAAGCTATGTAAATAAAACTTTAAATCATTCATCACAATTTCTATGAATTCATTACTAACACGACTTACGTATCAGCACTGGTGGTTCAGTAGTAGAATTCTCGCCTTCGATTCCCTGCCAATGCACTCCCAATATTACTATACGAAGATTTTACTCATCTTGTAATAAAAAAAAATTTAGAATGTATTTTCATGGGCTTAACTGCGTACATAATACACTTTTTACAGAATATTTTAATACGTTTTAAGCAATATGCCTTAAAACTTAAACGTTGCTAAAACATTTTTTAAACTTTTTCTCGAACGATTTTGCTAACAATATTTGTGATTTATTGTTAAAATTGTATTCTGCTACGCAAGATTTGGGAAATTTATTCTATGGCAAAAAATTAACACGTATCATCATAATAAGCTCGTAACTGATATTTTAAAATTTTTGTCCTTTCATTCCTTTTAAGGCAGTTTATTTTTTGCAATTTATACTTCTACTTATTTTTTTGGAGGTTTTGAATAACAAGCTATGTAAATAAAACTTTAAATCATTCATCAAAATTTTTATGAATTCATTACTAACAAGACCTACGTATCGGCACTGGTGGTTCAGTAGTAGAATTCTCGCCTTCCAAGCGAGAGACCAGGGTTAGATTCCCTGCCAATGCACAAGATTAGTATACTGCAATACGATTTTATTTATTTTGTTTTAAACTATTGTTTAGAAAGTAATTTCATGCACTTGACTGCTTACATTTTTCACTTTTTACTTAGCAGTTTACATATTTTTACGTTTCCGACAACATGCTTTATAACTTAAACGTCGCAAATATTCTTAAAATAATTTTAAAAGTTTTTCTCATACAAGTTTTTAAACAGCATTGGTAATTTAGTGCTAGAATTTATCCTGCAACGTAGGAGAACAGGAATTTCTGCTATGGAAATATATGAATGCGTATTATCATAATAAGTTAGTAAATGAATTCTTTTATAACTAATTTTTCCCTTTATTATTTTTTAACAGAGACAATTAAATGCATAATTAACATTTTACTGATTACTTTTAAGGTTTTAAATAAAAAGCTTTCTAACCAAAACTTTAAACGTCTTTTTAAAAAATTAGGAAGAAATCATGGCAAATTGGTGGCACTCATGGCACTGGTGGATCAGTGGTAGAATTCTCGCCTGCCACGCGGGAGACCAGGGTTCGATTCCTCCAATGCACTCCCAATATTACTATACGAAGATTTTACTCATCTTGTAATAAAAAAATTTAGAATGTATTTTCATGGGCTTAACTGCGTACATAATACACTTTTACAGAATATTTTAATACGTTTTAAGCAATATGCCTTAAAACTTAAACGTTGCTAAAACATTTTTAAACTTTTCTCGAACGATTTTGCTAACAATATTTGTGATTTATTGTTAAAATTGTATTCTGCTACGCAAGATTTGGGAAATTTATTCTATGGCAAAAAATTAACACGTATCATCATAATAAGCTCGTAACTGATATTTTAAAATTTTTGTCCTTTCATTCCTTTTAAGGCAGTTTATTTTTGCAATTTATACTTTTACTTATTTTTTGGAGGTTTTGAATAACAAGCTATGTAAATAAAACTTTAAATCATTCATCAAAATTTTATGAATTCATTACTAACAAGACCTACGTATCGGCACTGGTGGTTCAGTAGTAGAATTCTCGCCTTCAAGCGAGAGACCAGGGTTAGATTCCTGCCAATGCACAAGATTAGTATACTGCAATACGATTTTATTTATTTGTTTTAAACTATTGTTTAGAAAGTAATTGTTTACTGCTTACATTTTTCACTTTTACTTAGCAGTTTACATATTATTACGTTTCCGACAACAGGCTTTATAACTTAAACGTCGCAAATATTCTTAAAATAATTTTAAAAGTTTTCTCATACAAGTTTTAAACAGCATTGGTAATTTAGTGCTAGAATTTATCCTGCAACGTAGGAGAACAGGAATTTCTGCTGTGGAAATATATGAATACGTATTATCATAATAAGTTAGTAAATGAATTCTTTTATAACTAATTTTTCCCTTTATTATTTTTTAACAGAGACAATTAAATGCATAATTAACATTTTACTGATTACTTTTAAAGTTTTAAATAATAAGCTTTCTAAACAAAACTTTAAACGTCTTTTTAAAAAATTCGGAAGAAATCATGGCAAATTCGTGGCACTCATGGCACTGGTGGTTCAGTGGTAGAATTCTCGCCTGCCACGCGGGAGACCAGGGTTCGATTCCCTGCCAATGCACTCCCAATATTACTATACGAAGATTTTACTCATCTTGTAATAAAAAAAAATTTAGAATGTATTTTCATGGGCTTAACTGCGTACATAATACACTTTTTACTGAATATTTTAATACGTTTTAAGGAATATGCTTTATAACTTAAACGTTGCTAAAACATTTTTTAAAACTTTTTCTCGAAAGATTTTTCTAACAATATTTGTGATTTATTGGTAAAATTCTATTCTGCTACGCAAGAGTTGGGAAATTTATTCTTTGGCAAAATATTAACACGTATCATCATAATAAGCTCGTAACTAATTCTTTTAAAACTTTTTGTTCTTTCATTCCTTTTAAGGCAGTATATTATTTGCAATTTATACTTTTACTTATTTTTTTGGAGGTTTTGAATAACAAGCTATGTAAATAAAACTTTAAATCATTCATCAAAATTTTTATGAATTCATTACTAACAAGACCTACGTATCGGCACTGGTGGTTCAGTAGTAGAATTCTCGCCTTCCAAGCGAGAGACCAGGGTTCGATTCCCTGCCAATGCACAAGAATATTATACTGCAATACGATTTTATTTATTTTGTTTTAAACTATTGTTTAGAAAGTAATTTCATGCACTTGACAGCTTACATTTATCACTTTTTACTTAGCAGTTTACATATTATTACGTTTCCGACAACAGGCTTTATAACTTAAACGTCGCAAATATTCTTAAAATAATTTTAAAAGTTTTTCTCATACAAGTTTTTAAACAGCATTGGTAATTTAGTGCTAGAATTTCATCCTGCAACGTAGGAGAACAGGAATTTCTGCTGTGGAAATATATGAATACGTATTATCATAATAAGTTAGTAAATGAATTCTTTTATAACTAATTTTTCCCTTAATTATTTTTTAACAGAGACAATTAAATGCATAATTAACATTTTACTGATTACTTTTAAAGTTTTAAATAATAAGCTTTCTAAACAAAACTTAGAGAGTCGTCGTAAAAGTTTCGCAAGAAATCATGGCAAATTCGTGGCACTCATGGCACTGGTGGTTCAGTGGTAGAATTCTCGCCTGCCACGCGGGAGACCAGGGTTCGATTCCCTGCCAATGCACTCCCAATATTACTATACGAAGATTTTACTCATCTTGTAACAAAAAAAAATTTAGAATGTATTTTCATGGGCTTAACTGCGTACATAATACACTTTTTACTGAATATTTTAATACGTTTTAAGGAATATGCTTTATAACTTAAACGTTGCTAAAACATTTTTTAAAACTTTTTCTCGAAAGATTTTTCTAACAATATTTGTGATTTATTGGTAAAATTCTATTCTGCTACGCAAGAGTTGGGAAATTTATTCTTTGGCAAAATATTAACACGTATCATCATAATAAGCTCGTAACTAATTCTTTTAAAACTTTTTGTTCTTTCATTCCTTTTAAGGCAGTATATTATTTGCAATTTATACTTTTACTTATTTTTTTGGAGGTTTTGAATAACAAGCTATGTAAATAAAACTTTAAATCATTCGTCAAAATTTCTATGAATTCATTACTAACACGACTTACGTATCGGCAGTGGTGGTTCAGTGGTAGAATTCTCGCCTTCCAAGCGAGAGACCAGGGTTCGATTCCCTGCCAATGCACAAGAATAGTATACTGCAATACGATTTTATTTATTTTGTTTTAAACTATTGTTTAGAAAGTAATTTCATGCACTTGACAGCTTACATTTTTCACTTTTTACTTAGCAGTTTACATATTATTACGTTTCCGACAACAGGCTTTATAACTTAAACGTCGCAAATATTCTTAAAATAATTTTAAAAGTTTTTCTCATACAAGTTTTTAAACAGCATTGGTAATTTAGTGCTAGAATTTCATCCTGCAACGTAGGAGAACAGGAATTTCTGCTGTGGAAATATATGAATACGTATTATCATAATAAGTTAGTAAATGAATTCTTTTATAACTAATTTTTCCCTTAATTATTTTTTAACAGAGACAATTAAATGCATAATTAACATTTTACTGATTACTTTTAAAGTTTTAAATAATAAGCTTTCTAAACAAAACTTTAAACGTCTTTTTAAAAAATTCGGAAGAAATCATGGCAAATTCGTGGCACTCATGGCACTGGTGGTTCAGTGGTAGAATTCTCGCCTGCCACGCGGGAGACCAGGGTTCGATTCCCTGCCAATGCACTCCCAATATTACTATACGAAGATTTTACTCATCTTGTAACAAAAAAAAATTTAGAATGTATTTTCATGGGCTTAACTGCGTACATAATACACTTTTTACAGAATATTTTAATACGTTTTAAGCAATATGCTTTATAACTTAAACTTTGCTAAAACATTTTTTAAAACTTTTGCTCGAACGATTTTTCTAACAATATTTGTGATTTATTGGTAAAATTCTATTATGCTACGCAAGAGTTGAGAAATTTATTCTATGGCAAAATATTAACACGTATCATCATAATAAGCTCGTAACTGATACTTTTAAAACTTTTTGTCCTTTCATTTCTTTTAAGGCAGTATATTATTTGCAATTTATACTTCTACTTATTTTTTTGGAGGTTTTGAATAACAAGCTATGTAAATAAAACTTTAAATCATTCATCAAAATTTTTATGAATTCATTACTAACAAGACCTACGTATCGGCACTGGTGGTTCAGTAGTAGAATTCTCGCCTTCCAAGCGAGAGACCAGGGTTCGATTCCCTGCCAATGCACAAGAATAGTATACTGCAATACGATTTTATTTATTTTGTTTTAAACTATTGTTTAGAAAGTAATTTCATGCACTTGACTGCTTACATTTTTCACTTTTTACTTAGCAGTTTACATATTATTACGTTTCCGACAACAGGCTTTATAACTTAAACGTCGCAAATATTCTTAAAATAATTTTAAAAGTTTTTCTCATACAAGTTTTTAAACAGCATTGGTAATTTAGTGCTAGAATTTCATCCTGCAACGTAGGAGAACAGGAATTTCTGCTGTGGAAATATATGAATGCGTATTATCATAATAAGTTAGTAAATGAATTCTTTTATAACTAATTTTTCCTTTTATTATTTTTTAACAGAGACAATTAAATGCATAATTAACATTTTACTGATTACTTTTAAGGTTTTAAATAAGAAGCTTTCTAAACAAACTTTAAACGTCTTTTTAAAAAATTCCGAAGAAATCATGGCAAACTAGTGGCACTCATGGCACTGGTGGTTCAGTGGTAGAATTCTCGCCTGCCACGCGGGAGACCAGGGTTCGATTCCCTGCCAATGCACTCCCAATATTACTATACGAAGATTTTACTCATCTTGTAATAAAAAAAAATTTAGAATGTATTTTCATGGGCTTAACTGCGTACATAATAC